TACCTATAAAAGAAATTAAATTAGAAAAATTTTAGGCTATATTATATTAAAAAAATTATTAGCTTATATACTTATAAATTTAAATTACTTAAAAATATAAAAATTTATTTTATATTTAATATATTTTTACTCTACTTTATTACTAATAATCCTTTATTTAATTAATATCCTAATCTACTATTACTTATTAAAGTAAAAGAATTAGAAAAATAAGAAATTAAGAAAGTTCTTAATTTCTAATAAATTTATTAAGATTATAATAAATCTAAGCTATAATATATTATTAAGTAAATTAAATATAATAAGCTAATTAAAGAGCCTGCTAAATATCTAGAGAATACTTACTAACTAGTAAATAATTACTATCTTTATTATTTTAAGAAACCCTGGCTAATTCCTTCCTAGTCTTAATAAAGCTTAATCCTAAGAAGGGGAGTACTATTATAGCATGAAATTATAATACTTATCTAGTTAGATTCTACCTTAATTATCTACCCTTATTCCTATATTTAAGCCATATTATTCTTGATCCTGTTATAGCTCTTCAAGCTATATCCTGTCTATTACCTGATACCTACTATTCTGCTGTTCTGTCTGGTTAGCTCCTAGTCAATGAATATCTGAATCCAACTCTGCCCCCTGACATTAAGTCTTTATTAATTTTAGGAACTTTTACTACTAATTTATTTATAATTTTTTAAAAATTATTAGACTATTAGTTAACCTAACTAAGAAGAATATTAACTTTAACTAGATACTTACTTATTAAGAAATATTTAAATAATTAAAAGCTATTTTTATAAATATCCTAATACTAAAATCTTTTAACTAGTTAAAAAATATAATTCTAGAAATTAATATCTTTAATTATATATTTACTAGAATACTATTATAATATAATAATAAAGATATATTATACTTTATTATATTTTTTTTTAAAAAATATTCTATAATAGAATATAATTATAAGATTTATAATAAAGAATTATTAATTATTATTTATTACTTTAAAAAATAATATTTTAAATTAGAAAGAACTTTATTACTTATAAAGATTATTATAGATTACTAGAATCTAGAGTATTTTATATTAATTAAGCTACTAAACTATTAATAAGCCTGCTAGTCTAAATTTTTATTAAGATTTAACTTCTAAATATATTACTATCTTAGGAAGTTGGGTACTAAGCCTAATATACTAATTAGGAGGTTAAAGAATCTATTTAAGAAGGAGAATAAATAATTCCTTTATTAGAGCTAGACTATCTTAAAATCTAAAAATCTACTACCTAAGACTACTACTAATCTAAAACTAAATATTAATAGCTAATACTAAGTATACTTTATTAAATAACCTACTACTAATAAATTAATCTCCCTACTACTAATATTATAATTATTATTTAATAAAACTTATTTATAAGATAAGAAACTCTAATCTATTCTAAATATTCTAAAAGATAGTCTATTAAGATACTCTAATATTATACTAGCTAACTATAGATATACTAGTCTATACTTAAAATACTAAAATTAACTTTATATACCTAATTATAATAAGATAAAAACTAAAATACTAAAATTCTATTATAAAAACCTTATTACTAGATATTCTAGAAAAATTAAGATATATAAATTAATATTATATAAATATTTCTAGCCTAGAATTTATAAATATATTAATTAATAAATCTAGAATTATTACCTTTACTATTAAATTACTCCTTTCTAAAAAATAAAGTAAGGAGTATTAAAGTCTCTACTAATTTTTAAATATATTTAATAAGATATAAATATAGATTTTATTATATATTTATTACTAAATAATAGTTATAATATTATTCTAGTTATAATTAATTATTTAATAAAAATAAAATACTTTCTTCCCTATATTAGGATAATTAATACTAAAAAAATAATTAATCTATACCTTAAGTATATTTAGAAGCTCTATAATATCCCTAAAATAATTATATTAGATTATAAAGTCTAATTTATTACTATCTTTTAAAAATACTTAATATTTTATCTAAAAATTTATAATTTATTATTTATTATTTATTACTTTAAAATTAATAATTAAATTAAATATATTAATACTATTCTAGAATAATACTTATAAGTATATATATTATATTTATAAAATAATTAATCTAAATAATTATTAATAATTAAATTTATTACTAATTTTATTTACTTTAAGTTTATAAGAGTATTATTATTTATAGCTAATTATAAATTTTATCTAATATTAGGATTTAAACTAAGTTACTTTATTATTTACCTTACTAAAAAAAATATTAAGAAGTTTATTAATATTATATATAAAATTTATAAATTTATCTATATTAAGATCTTATTTACTTAAGCCTATTATAAAATATAAGTTAATTATTAAAAGTAATCTATATATTACTATATTATAAGATAAGAAATCTAGCTAGATACTTATAATATCTAAATACTCTACTTATAGAAGAAATTAAACTAGAAGAATTTTAAATTATACTATATTAAGAGAATTATTAGCCTATATACTTATAAATTTAAATTACTTAAAAATATAAGAATTTATTTTATATTTAATATATCTTTACTCTACCTTACTATTAATAATTCTTTATTTAATTAATATCCTAATCTACTATTACTTATTAAAGTAGAAGAATTAAAAGAATAAGAAATTAAAGAAATCTTTAATTTCTAATAAGTTTATTAAAACTATAGTAAATCTAAGTTATAATATACTATTAAGTAGATTAAGTATAATAAGCTAATTAAAGAGCCTACTAAGTATCTAGAGAATACCTATTAACTAGTAAATAATTACTATTTTTATTATCCTAAGAAATCCTAGCTAATTCCTCCTTAATCTTAATAAAGCTTAACCTTAAGGGGGGGGGTACTATTATAGTATGAAATTATAGTATCTATCTAGTTAGATTCTACCTTAACTATCTACTCTTATTTCTATATTTAAGCCATATTATTCTTAATCCTATTATAGCTCTTTAAGCTATATCCTGTCTATTACCTAATACTTATTATTCTGCTGTTCTGTCTGGTTAGCTCCTAGTTAATGAATATCTGAATCCGACTCTGCCCCCTGACATATTATTTATTATTAATTAAGAATTTAGTATATTTATAGCTAGTATTATAATATTAAATATAATATTAGATAATAGATTTTTTTAAACTTTATTCTTTATTATATTATATATAGTATAAAAATACTTTTATATAATTATTTTAATAAGATTATTATCTAAATTATTTAAGATTAAATTTATAAAACTTATATTATTTTTTTTAAATTTTTAAAGTATTATAATAATTACTTAATAAAGTATAATAATTATTTTTAATTTATTAAAAGTATTTATTTTCTAGATAAAATCTAATATAAACTTATTAATAATTATATAATTTTTATACTTAATTTTAATAATTTTTTTTTATATCTAGTATATATATCTTTAATTATTATTAATAATTATTCTTTATAATTTTTATATAAAATTATTTATAAAAATATATAAAATAATATTTATTAATAATTTCTTTACTAGTTTCTTATTTATTAAATATAGTATCTAACTAGTTACTATTTATAAAAGAAGTTCCTATAATTTATACTTAAAATTATTAAATTATAATCTAGAAATATTATTTTTAAGAAGCTTATTTATCTTATAAAGTCTTAGCTTTATTTATATAAATAAAGTTTAAATTTTAAATTTTAAATTATTTTCTAATATTATTATTAGGCTTAAATTAAATATATTATTCTTTAGCTTTATTACTTGATTTTAGCTATTAGTAAATAGAGTAGTAGCTATTAAAGGTAGGTATAATAAGTCAGGGATATTAGGATATCTACTAGGGATAGATTTAGTTATTATTTTAGTTAAATTATAAAGATTTTCTATATACTATTACCTAGGTAAAGTAACATAATAGTAATATAGGTAGTATAATATAATAATAGTAGGTAATATTTCTATCAGGATCTCTTTTTAATTAGGGAGTAGATTACTATATAGGGATATAGGAATATAATAAGAGTTTTAGAGATCTATAAAGTATAAAATAGAACCTTAGGGAGAGCTTATAACCTAATAAAGGTTATCAAACTATGATAGTAAAGAGTTAACTGAAATAGATTTAATTAGGTCTAACTAGGAAATAGAGAGAAGGAGAGATGCTTGGAAGAAGTATGAAGATCTAGAAGGAAATAATGGCTTAAATATACTAGGTAGTTACATGTCGCTATCTTCTTCTTTATGGTGATGCTGCTTTATGGTGGTGCTGGTTGCATTCACTGAGTGCAGCACTCCAACATATAGTAAATATAAGGCTAGCGAATCAGGTATTGATAAGTAAAGGACCCTAACCCAGCTACCTTTCGAACAAATTGCATCAGAGTACTCCCAAGAAGCAGCATCTCGGTTCTAATTCACCCTCATACCACCATTGTACATCAGCTGTAGCCGGTAAAGACACAGACATAGTGCGGTAAGAATGCCAAAGCATCTGCTTGCTGCCTGCTATATACGAGGAACTCATTTACACGAAACACAGACACCAATCATTACAGTCCAAGCTACACCCGTGTTCCGCATCTTAGGCACCATTTCCTATCTATCATCTTTCCTATTGACAAGGGGGTTTTAATTAAGTGAGCCTTGGTATTCGGACGGCCAAGATGCGCGGGGCGACACTTGGACTTTCGGGTGCTGGATGATAGGCGGAAGAGTTACGGAGACTCTAGCGTTGTTGGTCTTGGCTTCCTGCGGTTGGCTATTATTTCTGCCCAGAATGAGCGTCTATTTGGCAAAGGGGCTGCTGCATTTTAAGCCGTATTGTCTGGCCCGACCAGCCAACACGACGCGGGGGGTGAAATATGAAGTGAGCCTCCCAAGTCGGAGCTGCTCAAACGTTTCAATATCTTTTGCGCATCCTCGATGTGGTCGAGATATAGTTGGCTTGCCACCAAGATGACCTTTCCTCAAATATGGCTGTGTGGTATTGTTCTCGTGGCTGGGGTATTTCCCACCAGTAAGTACTTCATTATATGTTTGGAATCTATCATTCAGCTAGCGAAGATAGCCCATCTGATGGCTCTGTTGGCCTTACTGATCGATCCCGTTAGTTTCTATGGGACAAGAATGTGTGTCAGAATCCGGATACTTTAATCTAAGTAGTCAATGGGCGCTGGACGACATCTCACAAAGGTGTACGACGCTTGTTGGCCGGCTCATGATTGCCACCAACTATACAGGGCCATTCATCCTTCCCAATATCAAAAACATCACAAGCGATGTATTCCTGGACTGGTGGGATTTCAAACCCACGCCTCGGCCAACATCCATCGAGCTTCCCGATTTGGAATCCCTAGGAGGAAACATGGCATTTCAAAGCCTGACAACTTTGACTAACTTGTCCATGCCAAAACTCACTAGCCTACAATATTTGCGCATGGCGTATCCCACCGCTATGGACTTTAGGTCATTAACTGAAGCGGGGGGGATATCACTTGCGGGGAACTTTTCCAGGTAGGTTTGGCCTGTGTCTGCCTGCACAGCACATGTCACTGAAACTAGTCAAGTATCACATTCAAGTCGCTGGAAAGAGTCAAAGACCATCTTTCTATCTGTGGTACCCCGTACTGCAATGAAAGTCTGCCTCTAACAACTGAGCTGGACTTATCCTTCCCATCTCTCAGGGAAGTGGGCGGGCTGAGTGTGAGAGGCAAAGTTTCAAGGTTTGCCTTGCATAAACGCGATAATCCTGTCGAAGGGAAGAGAGGTAACTAATGTCTGGACTAGGCTGTTCGTACCTGAACTTGCCAGCGTTGGAGGACCTCATCGGGTTTCCACCAGCCAAGGAATGACTATTAGCGCCTCTGGCGGACTCCCGTTAAACCTCAGCTTTCCCCAGTTGAGTATTGTAGGTGGCTGGCTCAGATTGAATGGCGATATCGCGAGGTAATCCTTCACACCGTAGTTGGAATATACTGGTACTGACGATATGCAGTCTTGAAATGCCCTCCGTGCGCAACATGAGCGCAGATCTCAGGGTTAATACCGCCCCAGAGCTCAACGTTACCTTCCCCTTTGTTACAGCACAGGATATGCTTATAGCTGGAAATATTTCGAGGTCTGGACCCAAGACTTCTAGATACCCATGACTGAAAGAGCTAAAATGTTTATCTTACTCATAGTGCTCGGTTTCCAAACCTCCGAAATGCCACAAAGGTTGCTATTCTCTCTGATCTTGCCATAGACTGCGGTCCGATCGAGGAGGAGTTGAGGAGAAATTTGAACGTGACAGAAGACAGCCGCATTGTATCCTGCCGGTCAACCTATGAGCCATCCTCGGGGCTGAAGGCCGGGGTGAAAGTCGCTATTGGAGTAGTTGTTGGCGCGCTGGCTGGAGCCGTGCTCGGTGGGCTGTACGTTTTCAGACGGAGGAGACGGGCAAAGCAACTGAAGTCGACTTCCTCGGTCGAGCTGCATGAAGCGATCCCGTCAGCTAGCCGGAACGTAAATGGAGATGGAGAGGCCCTTCCTCCGTACTCCGCAAGACCCTTGTCACGTTGAGTGAAGTGTTATATACCGTGTAATGTTTAGTGATAATGCGTACATTCCATAATAGCAAATGTTCTTTACTCTAGATAGCCTCTTAAGCTCCGAACTCCTCCACATTTATTATCGCGGTTTCACTTATCCCTCGCCGTCTCCTCCAGTTGCGTTCCGTGTTAGTAATATGCCCTCTCCTGTACCCGGTCAACCCGGTATGGTTTATTTCTCCTAGTTTAGTTAGACTATGGGCAGGATTTTGATGGATATAAACACATGTTTTGACGAGGATTAGGAGGATCTAACCTTCCTCTCTCAACGGTAGAGTACTGGGCATTTCCCGAAGCGATTCATCCGATAGATATAGATTCGCCTACAGCGATCTTTGAAGTGCGAGCACAGCGAGAAAAGTCAATGGGTAGAAGTTATATGCATACAGCTGGGTAATTCTGAGGCAAAAAGATATATATACACGTGTATAAAACTTCATCATTATTGTGATAGGATTTCCGGGGAATTGAGATTGTAAACCGTTCCGCAGCTCACAATTCTTCCTACCCTGCACAGTTCGGGTTGAAAGGAAAATTATCCCACAGGGGTAAATCTAAACTATCCCAGCCAAGGAACGCTCCGGATGTAGGTGGATCAAACAGGGTCTCCCTCATCCAGTCATCCACCGGGTCTCGGTGCATGGCTGTTGAAGTTGAAGGCCTGTCTTGGTCAAAGATGAAGATTCGATTTACGTACTGGCTGCGGCTGCGGGCAGCTTGTTCATTCAGCCGTTGCCGTTGTTCCGCGATGACCGTTGCGAGAAGGCAGAGAATCTCGTTATAATGTGCAGCCTGAGGAGATCGACGGGCGAGCATTTGGAGAAGTTCCTGGGCAGAGGCGAATGCTTCTTCCACTTCGAGGCTTACATCCCTGCCCGAAAACATCAGGAAGCCCACGACTAATGAAGCTGCAAATATGAATGCTCTGCGAAGAAAGTAAGGCGGGGATCTGGGTTTTGCAGAGTTTTCTGGCGGGAAGCTTACTTCAGTAAAGAAACATTCGCAAGCATTAGTCCCGCGTCTAGCATTTCTCGACACCCCTGTAGAAGGTAAACCGCCGAGTCAACACACGAGAAAGCTAACGTAAGATACATGGGATCTTCTATGATGGAATCCGGCCTTGCTGAACGAGAGAGACGGGAGGTCAGAACGGAAACGAGGAAGGGGCGAGTAACCAGTGTTACTGCCCAGTAGTACAGACAGGCAACATGAAGTTTGCCTAGCGCATAGCCCTGTTCTCGAGAACTGGAATCGGTGACCGATATCTTTTGGAGTGCATGATAGAATTCGTCTGTCCAGTTTCGTAGTCGTTGAAGAAGGGCTTGGGCCGTGTCCGTGGAGACTGACTTCTCGCCATATATGGTGCCCACAATTTCTTCAATTATCTGAGACCCTTGATAGGATGCCAGTAAAAAGATATCAATAAATCCGGCCTGTTCAATTTGGCTTGCAATTTGGTCCTGAGAGTGAGAACGAGGCGTAGAAGTTGCTGCTGGACGGCCTAGAATGGAACTGGATATTAGGTCCAGTGTCCGAAGGCTTGCCCATACACGAAGCCTTCGCAATCATCGGTTAGGGCATAGTCTCAGGTTATCATCAACTAGAACCACCTACCTTCTCTGCCTTTCTGGTTCTCCCAGCATGCCATGATATTCGCAGCTATGAAGACCCAAGATTGCTGCCGCCCGGGCTGCTACCCCAAGATACATTGAAGCTGCGTTTCGTTGGCAAGCACCCATCATGTAAAACGCTAACAGGACAAATGCTCTCACAAGATCTACACTTGGGTGCTCCAAAGAACCCTCAAATGCCCGTCGTTGCCCTCTAAGGAAGTAGAATCTCTCCACCCCTACACCAGGCTCATCATTTGTCGTACACTGTGCTCCGATGGCAATCATTAGATCACCTGTTGCTGCGCGGCATGGATTATGATGCTCTGTAGGCGAGGCTGAGTCTTTCAGAATTCGGAGCGCCTCAGAACTAGAAACTACATGAAGGATTCCGCTAGTCTTTTCACTTCGCAATCAGAACTTTCCTTCTTTCCTTGAAACTAGTTAAATTCCGGGCCAGAATGTCACTCACCGCAATCAGATATACCTGAACTAGAACAGCTTTCTGGTCGAGATTCAAGGGATCATCTACAAATATTTCTTGTGGTTTCCTTTCTTCTTCTAGCATGGTGTCGCGTTTTGAATTATTCGAAAAGCTCGAGGGGCCCATATATTGTGTTACAAGATCGCGGAGCAATTGCAGGAATGACAACGACGCCTCATTACCGATATAGACTGTCAAGTACTTGGTCAATAAACCCCCATATCTGACAGCGCACTGCGAGCCTGGCATACCTTGTTCACCACAAACACTGCGCAAGAGCCTCGGATAGGTATGATGGGGGGCATTAGGGGAATATGATTGAGGATCATTCGCGTGAATGCAGGAGCCATGATCACTGGAGGAAGCAGTCACTGCGGGTGAAACAATGGGCGGATGTTGTATCAGCGGGGGAGATGTTGCCATCGCAGAGAACGCAGCATCCGATGGAAAGCTGGCGGCATCGTGAGAACTGGAGTCGGGCTCACTATCCGAGACAATACATTTTCCAGCACATCCTCTACGAACGCAGTTAGGGCATGGGGCCGTTCCAGTACATCGTTTCTTAGATGCTCTGCATTGCCTGCAGGCTTTCACAGCACGCAATCGATTTTCAGGTAGGACTTTAGGTCGCGGCATATTGATTCATGATCAACGGGAGAAAGAATACTTTGAAAGCTATCGAAAGACTGGAAGGGGAGCGAGCCTCACGACACTCCCTGGCGTTGCCCGGTTGGCTCGAAATAAAGATAACAGAATCGACTTATCTGGACGATCGTTCTAAACATTGATAATAGCTGGCCATTAGACCCGGCACAGATGATCCTGTTGGATTTTCTCATTAGTTCGCCATGGGAGCTCTCGTATTACCTTGCAAAGGGGGGCAATATCAAGCACCCCCATGTTTCTTATCAGATAATAATAAAGCTATCTATATCTGAGTGATAATCTAGTGGTACTCCGTAGATTACAGATATGGAAGTTGGGGTATATCGCCAGAGACCGCTTCAGGACCGGCACCAGGTAAGCACAAAGTGTCCCTCCCAGATCAACGCATTTCAAAGCACCAGCCCCTTTCCTAGTACGTGGGACAGCCGATAAGAAATGGAGAAGTTAGTCGGGATTCGATTCCTCTCTGGTTTTGCCTGCAAATCAGGATCCTTGCCGCGTGCCAGGTCCATGAAAGCCGTGTGTTAATATGCAGCTTGATTGACCGCCAGGACATACCCGACATTCCATACGACGGCATTGATCGTATTGCAGGGAAAAGGGAATTGAAGTACACCATAAATCACTGGTACTTCGGGTATGAATAGTGATTGGGAGAGGTGTGAGAAAACTGCAATTTAGAGAATTTCTAGTCATGGAAGCAGTTTTTCGGAAAATTGCACAAGATACTACCAAGTTTAACTTGGGAGACGAGGATGTGAGAGAGTAAGCGGAGTTCCCCGCATATAGTCAGACTAACATTGTATTTGTTAGGCATGGCGCGAGCTGTACGAACCTCTGTATGAGCCTCTCTCCCCGAATGTTGAGATTATCAGAGATGAGCGTTACGGACCGGCGGAGCGAAACAGACTTGACGTTTATATCCCCAAAGACGAGGCCGCGGATAAGCCCGTTCTTCTCTACGTTCATGGCGGCGGGTTCTTCTCTGGAGACAAGGCGTGGAGTGAGAAGGTGAGAAGCCCTGCGCCCTAGGCTCCTTCTTGAATGGTATACTCATTGCATCGCCAACCGCAATCAGTGTTATGCGAACATTGGGAATTTCTTCGCGCGTCACGGAATCATCACTGTCCTGGCCAACCATCAACTTGTCCCCCACGTCCAATACCCTGGAGGCGCGGACGACATACAGTTAGTGCGGGAGTGGATTTATAACAATATCTTCCATGAGAAATTTGGCAAAGGCTCGGTGAATAAAGTCATCCTCCTGGGCCATTCCTCCGGAGGAGCGCATATAGCATCTAATCTCTACGCAGCAGGTGAGAAGAAGAAGAAGACGAAGAAGTGCACTAAATAGTGTCCCCTCAGAGCGCTAACACGAGATAAAATCCAGGGGACCCAGGCAGAAAATCACAAAATGCCGTTTTCCCCCCAGTTGCGGGAATCATGTACTTCAGCGTTCCTTTCTGGTTTGACCGCAGGAAGCCTTTGCGACAGAAGACCATCCGAAGCTACTTTGGATCGGATGAAGAGGAGGTGTGGGGTGTAGGTGCCATCAACTCTCTCTTGGAGTGCTAACCAGCTAATTATTCAACAGCCAAAATGCGCTTTGGGCCTCTTTAGAGGGCTCCCTGACGATTCTCCCCTGCTGTGAGAATTGCCAGTTGTCCTTATACTGTATGCGGTTGCTGACGCCCACTTAGAGATGTTAATAAATACCCAGTTTATCTGGGATCAGTCAAGTGGGAGGTGTATGTGCAATCTTATTCTTTGTTGCTGGAAGCGAGATTCTAAATAGTGTCCTAGACCCGAGACAGCAGATGCTACAATTGCATTTCTAAACGCCTACCGAGAACGAAGCAAACCTGCCCACAGCCTGCCCGTTGTGCATATACTTGACAAGCACAATCATATTAGGTACGTTTTGACCGATAAGGATGTCTTTATCAAGCTCACCCATATCCCAGTAACATCCTATCTATTGGAACCGAGGATGATTCACAGAGTAAGATGATTTTGGACTTTATTCAGTCATGTTTGAGCAATGTAGCCCGACTGGAAGCCGAGTCCAAATCCAAGATTTAGGAACATACAAGATAAAGAGACATGATTAGTTGTTGAAGTCTGCCGTCCTCACGAGAGAAAGATATACATAGTCGCTGTTATGGATACAGCTTATACAGCATAGACAACAATATGGAAACTATGGAAGTAAATGGCAGTTTACAAATGTACTCGCAGATTTCTTAGTATGTATTCATACAGTCTGAATCACACCATATTATGTGAAGTATATCTTTTACCTTCGATATGGCGAAGGAGTGAGGACTCAATAGTTGAACTAGCATTGTTTTAAACCTGAGAACGCTCGAGTCACTCATAGCTAAAATATTCATTATGGCATCTCTTAAATTATGAATCACGAACTGGCTGCTAGTATACCACTGCCATCACAGTAAAAGGATTGCATTGAACGAGACTAAGAGACAAAACAAAGAGATAACACTCATGCGGCTGCCGAGATTGGGGTTTTAATGCTCTCTGCAGGGACTTCCGCCTTCTTTTCCCTATTGTGTCTGTTCCGGAATAAGTATGGATAAAAAGAATGGAAAGGAAATGGAGACTGGACGTACCCAAATTGTCGTTCCACTTGGGATCTGAAATACTCATAGACCGTCATGGCAGGACTGATGATGGCATCGTTAATACACATTCATTTACTTAGTCATTGCAGAGAGTGCTTACTATTTCTTCAAAGGTCCCTGAAGAATAAAGTCCTTTCGGGGAGTATTAAAGTATGCAATGGAATACCTGTCTGGCGAAAAGCCAGCGTCCTTCGCCCGCACCCTGTGGAAGTTCGCCTTGAAGCGATCGTCGGACCAGGCCACTGAGGTATAGATTAGCACAGCCTTTACAATACCGCCGGAATATATTCCATACTTAGCATATCGCCAATATTGACGAGAATTGGACCGGTTTTGGCGGGAACGGGGGAGAACTCATCGCCTGCTGCCATGCTGTGGTGTGACTCGCGACCCGGGCACATCTCTAGACCGTCCTCGCCATCACGTTGGAAGAGTAGAGTAAGACATCCGATATCGGTATGAGTACCGGCACGCCATGTCCCTACAGCATCAGTCGACGCAGGGTAGTGCAAAAAGCGGAATTGTGTGAGGCAGTCTGGCTTGGTAACATCGTGCGCTTGCTTGAAGAAGTCTTCCGGGAAGCCGAGGGCTACGGAAAAGCACCTTACTGTGCCTCGTTATTAGATGGTGCTTCATATGAGATTCCCTTAGCAGGATTGCTTACAAACTCTGTCGGAAATTACCTCGCACTTCGCGATGAATGAGGACAGAGTCGCGTGGAAGCCGGCGACGTCTTCGTCACTGGGCCAGTTAGAGTTACGCTGCATCCAAAGCGACTCTTTCTCGTCAGCTTGGCCAGTACTCGCACGAACTTGGGCCTGCTACTGTTAATTGAACCGTCCTAATTTGGGGAGGTCGAAGATAGCCACCTTGTACTCCCAGCCATTGTTCGTTGACACATCATAAGAAGTCTTAGCCTTGACCTCCTTGGGCAGGTCGAAAAATCGCTTGGAGAGTGCAAACATGCCCTCGATCTCTTCGACTGTGATTCCGTGGTCAACTAGACTGAAAAACCCCGTGTTTTCCGCGGCTGCAACCAGCTGCGCCTCGATTTCCGCCTGGCGACTTTCATAGTCTAGCCTTGGTTAGCGGAGGTTTCCGTTACTTCTCATAGTAAAATCGACAATACCCTTCAGTGAAATGGTTGGCACAAGTCTTTCGATTAGTTTGGCCATGGTTAAATGCGTTTTGCTTGTTGGGTTGTGGTTATGTCCGAACAGATGACTGGAGCCAGAAATGCTGATACTTCGACATTATATGTTTTCCAGTGTCAAGCGACTCGCACCTATATCTACGACCTAGAGGTCAGCTAGCTATATTGCGGGCCGCTGACCCCGATGATATCTCGATAGCTTATCAGCAGGGAGTTCGGGCCGGGGTACTGCGGAGAAGAACTGTACAGTAACATGGAGCTATACAGTCAGTATCTTAGAGAAGGTTCGTGGACCTCAGAAGATCGGGGGTAGAGTGGGGAAATACATCAAAGACGAGGTAGATAAAGGTAAGTTTGTCCCTGCTGTGATAAGAAAACACCATTGTGCCCTAATCCATGTAGAATGTAGAGTATATAAACCCCTAACGCCTTGCCATAGGGTAGGCTTCGATATCCACACATACCGTCACCATGCCAACCAAGAAGAAATCCGATGCTCGCAGCCAGGCAAGTGTAGAGCGGGTGAGTTCACACCCTCCCTGGGGAAGATCCAGAGATGGATGTTCACTCCAAGTGATAGGGTGATGTGATTACTGTTGCTCCTGGCACACATCACGATTCTGGAGTAGACCAAAAGCGAGCCGCACAGGACAAAGCGCTCAATCTACTGGCAGAGCACCATGTGGATTTTGATCCCAATAGCTCCGAAGCCAAACGTGTGCTTCGGAAGATTGACATGAGAATTCTTCCCATGACCATCGCGATTTATACTTTTATGTTGATGGTGAGCTCCATCCCTTGCAGCTTCAGAAAGTGAAGTTAAACGTGCTATAGGATAAGAATAGTCTGTCGTTTTCAGCTCTTATGGGCATAAAGCAGGACAATAACCTCACTCCCGGACAATACTCATGGCTTGGCTCGATTGTCTAGTACGTGGTTGTTCATTTGGCTGGATTACTCGTTTCCTTTCATTGCTAATGCTTGTATAGTATTGGCTATCTATGCGGTGAGATACCTGCAGCATTTCTGATGCAACGCGTGCCTTTGAGGCAGTATTTTGGCTGTATGTGTATGCTCTGGGGGATTGTTGTTGCTATGCATGCTGTGTGCCACAACTTCGCGGGGCTTGCGACAGTGCGTTTCCTTCTAGGAGCAATCGAGACCTGCACGGCCCCTATCGTGATCCAAGTCCTGGGTGCTTGGTATACGAAAGAGGAACAGGTCTCTCGCGTGGCTATCTGGTATACTAGCTCGGGGTGGGCGAACGTCGGAGGAGGGTTTTTCGCGTGGGCAATCTATCAAGCCGGCACTTTCAGATGGCAAGCGCTTTTTATTTTTTACGGCTGCATGACATTCCTGATTGGGGCTATTCTATATTTCCTCCTAGCAGCCTCGCCGACAGATGCTCAGTGGCTCACTGATGAAGAGAAAACCATTGCCCTGGAACGGGTTCGTTCCAACAAGACCGGTACTGAGATTTGGCGATTCAACCAGTCCCAGCTCATTGAGGCATTCTGCGACCCACGGTTCTATATTATATTTGTTCTTTTGGTCTGCACAGGGCTTCCGAATGGCGGATTAACAGTGTTTGGTATGTGATATTGTTACAGGCCCCATATCCGGGTGACGCTAACTGCAACATGATCAGGCCCATCAATCATAACTGGGTTTGGATTTACAACCTCGCAGAGTACTCTTTTGTACATGGCTCCTGGGGCTGCTGCTGTTCTCGGTACAGGGGTCGCTTGTGTTGTGGCCAAATACACCAATCGAACCATAGCAGGCATCTTCCCCTTGGTTCTATCATGCATTGGAATTATCATGATGTTCACCATCCCTAGTGAGAACTACTCGGCACGGTACGGAGGCTATGTTCTAACCATGCAATGTGAGGCTTTTCTTGTTCTTCTTCTCCTACTTATCAAACCAAAGCTGACAGGAGTAGTTCCTATCTGTGTTCTCTTCATAATCACATACATGACGGCAGGAGTGGGTGGTTCCACAAAAAAGCTGGCCTTTGGAGCGTCGTACCAACTCGGATACACCGTGGGTAATATTGTCGGCCCACAAACCTATCGAGAAAGCGATGCCCCAAACTACTATGTACGCCAACCATGCCGTCCGTTCATCTGCAGATCTATGCAGTGCTGACATTGTGTATAGATCGCCAAGTATACCATGCTTGCTTTCATAGTGATGTCAATCATTTTGATTGCGGTCACCGGCAGTTTACACAAGTACTGGAATATTAAGAGGGACCGAATGGATACCCTGGATGCTCAGCGTAAGTCTTTGCATATTATGATGGAATCGAAAACCATTAACCATTCTTTAGAGGGCACTAAGCACGAACAAGCGGAGAACGAGGAGTTTATGGATTTGACCGATTTCCAGCAACGATCATTCCGTTATCCAGTTTAATTATATCCCCGGTTATGCATTCCTTGGAAAGCAGCCATATCCATCTGCCAATGGATATTAATACTGAATCTCCTGCTCCTAAGAAGGGGTTGCCAGACTTTTGTTACTCAATACTTAGCAATAATAAATTTGGTTCACGAAAATCGTCATCTCGAACTTGGTATCTACAGAGTACTCTATAGTGGGATACAGTAACGTAGCCACAATCTGTTCTGTTCCCGCCCATCCCGTAGTACATTGATAACCTACATTCAGTGAGGCTAGCTGGTCAATTGACCGCTCAGCTAAAAGATATCTAGACATGCTTTTAAGCGGATAACGTGTGCAAGGTTCACAGCATAGTGATCGTCATGTTGTCCTTGCCAATGGAGGTATGTAACAAATAGACCACAGCAGAGGAATCGGCTGGAACTGTTATCATAGGCTTTGCGGCAACGAGACTGTCCAGACTTGTCCAGACTTCTCTCCAAGGTGGAGCTTAGTGGCGGCAATGGGTCCGGAGTAGTTTCAAATCGACCCGCATTTACTCCAAGATAGCTCAATCTCAATCGCTACCCGCATTAATGGAACATACCCGCTGATAAGCTTGTCGAGAAAATGTGCGGTTGGGGAACGACCTTATAATCTAGCAATTGTTCCTACGCTACTGAGTGCGACTCGTATCGGGTAGCGACAACTTTTCAATTCCTCCGCAATGTTAACTAGGTACGGCTTCAATTTTTCGTCTCTATACAGGGTGCCCTGACGATATAGTGCACAGGTCCGAGGTTGCAGAGCACGCTTCACGGGAGAGCTGCTGGATTGTGATACGTGGCGAGGCTTACGATGCAAGTACATTTTTGGACGCGCACCCTGGTGGCGCCGGGATAATTCTCAAGTACGCTGGAAAGGATGCGACAAAGGCATTTGAACAATTCCATTCGCCTGATGTTTTGCAGAAAAACCTCAAACCAGAGTAGGCTCTTTCAAGGACATCGCCATGGCTGTGTGGAATCTTATACGTATCGCAGATATCACCTGGGCCCGGCCGAGGGAGACTCAGCCCAGGAAGATTCGAGCGAGGGTTTGACGCCAGTAGAGACGAAAAAAAGATTAAGATCCATTATCAACCTTGAGGACTTCGAATATGCGGCGAAAGATCTCTTGCCTGCAAAGTCATTTGCATGTAAGCAAAATCCACCGAATCAAATAGGCATATCGGCTAACCCGCTGCAAAGTCCTAAAAACCGGGGCCGACAGTGAAAATACCGTGCGATGGAATAAGCGTAGCTGGCAGATCGTCCGCTTTCGTCCTCGGGTTTTGCGACCCGTCGAATCAATTGACCTATCGACGACTATTTTCGGTACTCGGTTCTCTATGCCGTTTTTTATATGTCCAGCGGGTGGGGGGAAATTGGCTCATCCGGAGGGAGAGGTACTACTGACCAAGGCGGCGGCGCAAACTGGTGTCCTTCACTGGGTGTGCAATATGGCTGGCTGCTCTAAGGAGGAAATGGCGCGGGCTCGGAGCCCTTCTCAGACCACATATTGGCAAATCTACGCTATGCGGGACTTGGCTGTAACAGAAAAGGAGGTCAAACAGGCCGTCGCACTGGGATACAAGGGCTTTGCCCTGACCGTTGACGCCATACGGCCTGGAAAACGGGAACGAGATATGCGGTTGGGCTTAGACGAAATCGAGGTATCTACACCCAGATGAATCTCCTCGGGAGAAATGAGTAAAGTGCAGCAGCTAACTAGGAATTATTTCCAGGACGATGATGATGCTGAGAGGTTCGACATTGGGCTATCAAGACGCGCGTGAGTTTCTCTCTTCCCGAACTATTCAGTCAAGACAAATGCCCTAACCATGGGCAGTCCCGTTACAACCACTTTCGATTGGGTTCAGGCAATAAAGTGGCTCCGGGGGCTCACTGACCTTCCCATTGCCATCAAAGGCATTCAGTGCTGGGAGGACAGCGTGCTGTGCATGGAGCACGGCGTCCATCCCTGGCTCTCGAATCATGGCGGCCGGCAGCTAGACGGGGCACCCTCGGCAATCGATACTCTAATTGAGATGCGGAAACATTGCCCCGAGGTGTTTGACAAGTGCGAGGTGATCGTGGACGGAGGCGTGACAAGGGGGACAGACATCGTGAAAGCCCTTGCACTTGGGGCAAAGGCCGTTGGTCTTGGTCGTGCGTTCCTTTACTCATTGGTTCTCGGTCAAGAAGGTGTGCGCAGAGCAATTCGAATTCTCCAGAGCGAGGTCGAAACCACTTTAGCATTATTGGGAGTCACCTCCGTTGCGGAACTGAACGCATCTTATGTTGTAAGTGCAGCACCACAAGCCAGTTTGTAATCTATGTATAGATGCCTGAAATTTACTTAAAATCTACCTACTTCAACTTTATTGTGAGCTGCACTCACTACCGGACCTTTATATAAGTCATGTATCAACCCATTTCAAAAACAGTTCATTATCTCAGGCAGTATATATAGTACAAAGTTCAAACGCGCTGCTGCTTCTAAATAACATTCTCAAGCGCCAACCGGCGTTCCCGCTTCGGGATTCAATTGACATGATGCGAGGGTCCATTGGGATCGCGCTGATGGTTGGTTCATATCACCAAAAAAAAAAATCCAAAAGATGCCAATAAAAATGAAAGCAAATTTCTATCACAGCTTGCTGGGAACAAAGTAGGGAATGTTCTGTGCCTCGTAGAGATCCTTGTGTTGAGACTTGATAATATCGGCTCCCTGCAATCCAAAAGTTAGCCCATGTATGTCACATGCGGGATCAATTGAATAATTACCTTCTCGCCAATCATATAAACAGAGTTCTGAATACGGCAGTCGGGGATAACAGGGATAACCGAAGCATCTGCAATGCGCAGGTTTTGAATTCCATGGACGCGGAGCTTGGAGTCCACAACGCCCTGGTTGATGCTCTTGGAGAGACGGGCCGTACCGCAGGGGTCTGGGAGAATACAGTCAGTACTACTACGATCATAGGTTAGGTCAAGGTAAACTGACGGAATCCGGTCTGGCTGCGTTCCAAGACGGCCTTGTTCATGGCCTCGTCCGAGTTGAGAGGCATGGTCCAAGGATACTCAGCCACAACAATGTCCTTAAAGCCGGCACCGTTGGTCAGGACATCGTAAGTCCAGCGAACTCCCTCGCGCATGGCCAGGATGTCCAGGTCGCTGCCGAAGAAGTTCAGGTTGATGTTTGGTTGGACCAGGGCGTTGTTGCTGTTCAAAGTAACCTCGCCCTCCGACAGAGGTCGCAGCAAATCAACGATCACGGTCATGTAGTTGCCCTGGGAAGGGACGGGGTAGTGCCATTGGAATGCCGAGCTGAACATGCCCACAAAGTCGAGCTCAAAGTGAGGCTGGCCAGCGGGACCGAAGGGGTCAAGGCCGCCGTTCGCAGCCTTGGCTTCGCGGTAGGCGGGATATCTCTCCAGTCTCTCGTCAATGCGAGGGAAGCCCACGAGCTCGAGCAATCCAGAGCCAACGGGGCCGGTCTTGTCACGGCGGTAGGCAGATACGGCAGCTTCGTTCAGCGGACCCGCGCGGAGTAGATGGTCGTCCAAGCCATATCCATCCTGGATCTGCAGCACAAACGGAACAATGGGGTGGTCCAGCAGATGCTGGCCAACATGGGGAGAGTCCAGCACGACATCAATGCCATGCTTGGCCAACTCCTTCGCAGGGCCGATACCGCTAAGCATCAACAGCTTAGGGGTTTCAAACACCCCCTGCGAAACAATCACCTCTCGCTTGGCATACACACTGATCTCTTCGCCGGTGACCGGGTTGACGGTCACCACTCCAGAGCAAATGCGGGTAGATTTGTCGATAATCAGTTTGCGTGACTGGACTCCGGAGAGAATGGTGACGTTGGGCTTGTCCTTGACATAGAGATAACTTCCCTGGCGCTGGCCCTTGTAGATGGTGTCAACACAATGGGTCAGACCATGCATTTCACCGGAGTAGATATCTTCGCTGAGGAGCTGGCCCTTGGAGACCCACGCTTGGGTGAGCGCATCGCGGAAAGGCTGCATCTCGGGGACCAACTCGGCGTGAGAGATCTGCAAAGGACCTCCCGTCCCGATCTTGCTCAGCTCGGCGGGATAGAGCTTCTCGTCGTCATGGTAGGTGGCACACTTGCGGAGATAGTCCACACAGCCATCCCACTTCCACTCGTGGCCACCGAATTCCTCCCAATCATCGAAGGTCGCCTTGGATCCGGGAATCCAAGTAAAGTAGTTCGCACAGGAGCTACCTCCAAGGGCCTTTCCACGGGTATTAGGCTTCTCGACGCGCTCGTAGTCCTCGCGCTTGATCATCGTCGTCTTATAAGCCCAGTCATACTGACTTCCACGAAGCCCAAAGGCTTTGGAAGGGGTGGTAATGTCCTCAACTTCGTACGGTTTGGCAATACCGGCTTCAACGACCAGGACTCGCACATTGGGGTTCTCAGCCAGGCGACCTGCGATGGTATTTCCGGCCGTGCCACCGCCAACGACGATGAAGTCGTACTGGGACCCGTTGGAAACTTGAGCCATTGTGATGATAAGAGCGTCTATTTGTAGTGTCTTAAATTGAAAGAACAAAGTAAAATGTATGACAAGTAAATCAAAAGGATGTTTTTGTGTTTTTGAGGCTTCTGATGCTATGAGAGTGCTGGAGAATACATTTCGACCAACCTGCTAAATTCGAAGCTCTATATATATTCAAGTCTTGAGTAAGGAATTAAGCATGGAGTGAGCACGGAGTGAGTATAGACTGCGTATGAAGTCATTGTAGAACCATCCCCGCATGTTGAATCACCTCAGTCACCCTCTTTGCATTCTTATCTACATGGTTTGAGGGCTGAGGTAAGATGCGGTAATGCATGACTGTTGTGGTTTTTTCCCTCATACAACACGAGAGCCTGGACTCGGAATTCGCCCGGAATACTCTCGGACTGTCTCGGGATCAACTCGGCTTTACCCCTCATGCGGGGTGCGGAGAAACTGGCCTCCCGTTTAGGAAAAGTGTCGACGCCATAATATTCCTCAGGCACCTCACTAATCTCACCGCAACACAGCATGAGGGGAAAGTCTCAGATCACTAATGTGATAGCCTAGAAACGTTGGTTGTTCTAGAATGCATTGCTACGTAATGGGCGCATTTCCTGCCTCTGAAGGAGCTCGTAGTAGTAGGGGGAATTGGTACCGCACGGGGGGGGGGGGGGGGGTACAATGTGGTGCATGAAGGGAGAATTGGGGATGACAGCGGATTGGGGAAAAAAAGAAGAAGAAGAAGAAGTAGAAGATAAATATCGGTATAGTCCCTAGTATTCCCTGGAGTATCTCTGTTGTTGGTTAGGAGAACAAAAACACCCAGTTTACAATATACTTAACAAGCAACGACATCCAAATCATCAAACACTATGACAAAACCGATATTCACTTTGGCGGAGGGTAAGCTACATCGGCGAGGCATGGTCCCTTTTTATATTCAAGCCCTAAACTCACAATGCTTGTGTTATGCTTAGGGCAACCCGTTCCCGACCCTGCTGTGAGCATGACCCTTCCCACTATCGGTGGAGGAGGGCTGGTCACCCTTGGGGACACTCTGCTCCTGGAAACCCTAGCCCACTTTAATCGAGAGCGAATCCCGGAGAGGTAATAGAGTGCGACACAAAAAAACCCCTGCATTACTTTGTTAACCATAGACAGAGTCGTTCACGCGAAGGCTGCTGGGGCTTGGGGTGAGTTCGAGGTGACGAATGATATCTCTCACCTCACGACTGCCAAATTTCTCAATGGCATTGGGAAGAAAACCCCGTTGCTCTTCAGGCTTAGTACCACTGGAGGTGAAAAGGGCAGTGCGGATACTGTCCGAGACGTTCGCGGCTTTTCCGTCAAGTTTTATACTGAAGAAGGAAACCATGATATCGTGGGAAACCATATTGTAGGCTCCCTTCACCAGTACATGGTCCAGACACTTACCATCACTAGCCCGTATTCTTCGTTCGAGACCCCGTGAGATTTCCGTCGTTGAATCGGAGCCACAAGAAACACCCATCCACTAACCAGGTGGATATGAACATGGTCTGTGTCATCATATCATGCCCCCGTCAGTTAGGCAGTATGCTGATTCTCGAGCTAGTTTTGGGACTTTCATACCAACCAGCCAGAAAGTGTGCATGCGCTGATGCATCTATTTGGGTCCCGGGGGCTGCCTGCATCCGTTCGGCGGGTTACTGGCTTTGGAGTTCACACGTTTAAGCTTATCGCCCCTGATGGATCGTGGAATTACTGCAAGTTCCATTTCCGCCCCGAACAGGGCGTCTCCAACCTCTCGCCCCGTGAGGCCCAGCTCCTTGCCGGCTCGAATGGCGACTTTCACAACATGGACCTCTGGAATGCCATCCAACGAGGCGATTTTCCAACCTGGAAGCTCTACATTCAGGTTATGCAGCCAAACCAGGCCAAGCTGTACGGCTTGACAGTGTTTGATATCACCAAGGTCTGGCCCCATAAGGAGTTTCCACTGATCGAAGTCGGGAGAATGACCCTGAACAAAAATGTAAGCGAAGTGTATACCCTCGGAAGAGAAGCTGTGCTGAAACTTATGTAAAAGCCCGGCAACTATTTCGCAGAAATTGAACAGGCCGCCTTCTCCCCATCTAATATGGTGCCTGGCATCGCGGCATCCCCTGATCCCAGTGAGTTCCTTTCTTCTGCCTATGATGGGTTCCAAAGCTAGTGAGATATTAATCATCTTCATCTTCCCCGTTCATTAGTGCTTCAGGCTCGCATGTTCGCTTATCCAGATGCCCAACGATATCGTCTTGGGACAAATTATACGCACCTCCCACCTAACAGGCCCATAGTGCCTGTCTATACCCCCTATGAGCGAGATGGCGCCGCGACAATAACGGCAAACTACGGGGGCGAACCGAGCTACGTGAGGAGCACACTCACACCCGGCGTACAAAGCCAGACTGTGCAACAAGTGCGTCACACAGAGTGGCTCGGAGCAGGCGGCGTGCTGGGACTGAATGAAATTGCCGTCACCGAAGACGACTTTTTGCAGCCGAGGGATCTGTGGAAGCGGGTTTTTGACCACTCCGAACGGCAAGTTTTCGTCGCCAATGTCTCCGACTCCCTGGCGGGTGTATTGCCAAACCTGAAAGAGGACGTCATTGGCATGTTTAGCAAAGTAGATCCTGAGATTGGACAGCTGATAAGGGCCAAATTGTCCAACACCGCTCGACTTTGAGAGATTTTCTTTGGCCTTTTAAGGGTCCGGGTGTATTTAACGATCTTTATATGTATGGTTATACATTGACTTGGGTAATTTGGTATTTTGAACCGGTATCATTAGTGGGCTAGAATGTACTTTATTTGCTGATTCGCAACATAATCAAGGAACTCAAGTACCATCGGCAAGCAAGATGCCGTCTCTGCTACACTTCACGGCAATCTACATCTGCAATCTAAGCGGTGTAGCTTCCTTCTGCAGACAAGCTATCTATGCGACCAAGCAGGAACTCTAGCTGTCGATATGCGGCACCTGGAGTGTACTGAGGGATTTCTACGCGAAACCGGTCAGTATTTGGTTGTCGTTTACTACTGGGGCCTCGACTTACCATGACCAGCAAAATACACGGTGCTGAAGGTAAGTCCTCGCTCGGTGTGTGCGGTGCCCAAGTATCCAGCACCAGCATCCAAGGTATATGGTGTCGGCTGAGTACCTCCCGAAAGCTCAGCGAGACCGTAGTGATAGGGAACGAAGAGCGGCTCGACAGGGGGCTTCTGGAAGCCCTGGGCGCCGTTCCAGGTCATGTTCTGAATCGTAACAAGGGATCCATTCATGAAGAGCAGGAAGTCGAGCCAACCGTGACCGATAATGGTGTTGTTAGTACGCTCGATAACACTTGGGAGAGGGCCTAACGCGCTAGGAACCGATTGATCGCCGTGGGCAAAAATATCGGTTTCACCGCAGACAGCGTAGTTAGTACGAGGAACGTGGATGGCTCTTTGCACATCGGATCGGTTGAAGTAATTGCTGGGCCCGCCGGCGAGGGATGGGAAGCCCATCTCATCCCAGAGATACGGGCAAAAGTCGATCAAATGATAGAAGTTGAAGCAGGGGTTCACGTAATATGCCGCTTCAACAATGTCGTCCCAAATTGCACAATCGCCCTGAGACGGGTCGGGGGCAGTGGGGAAAGTCTTAGGGGGTGGGAAGGTGAGAGCCTCGTCCAGGAATGTGTTGTAACCACATTTCTCGGCGCGGTCATTGATATTGTGAACGAAGGAATCGTTCAGGGCAAAGACGTTCAAGTAATGGTTGAGATGTCTCACGGCCGGTGCTAGTGGTTGGATGTTAGCATCCTGTATCTGGGTTGAGCTCCTAAATCTGCAAGGTAGACGGACCGTAGATCATGACCGAGTCTTCATTGATTGAGGGATCGTTAATTTGGATCCCCTTGACGTTTAAATACTCGGGATCCTCCTCGTCCAGCATGCCTGACGCAATATACGGAATATACTGTCCAGCATAACTCTCACCAGTGATATAAACCTTCCGTCCGTGCAGATCGAAAGTGTCGACGAAGTTCTTGAACCAGCTCTTAAATTGGTTGGCAACGTCAACTTCGTCATTTACCGTTGAAGGACCAGGAGAGAAACCGGTGCCCGCAGGTTGGTCCACGTAGACCACATTCGTCAGATTTGTCCACGAGTAAGGGTTTCGAATGGGCTTGTAGGTGCCAGATTGCCATAGGAAAGGGCCGTTTTCCTGCAACAGGCCATCCAACGAGCTACAACCAGGGCCACCATTCAGCCAGATGGTGATCTAGAAGGGCCGTTAATACAGGTATCGAAATAAATCCAATTCCAGCCCATCTTACCTCATCCGTGGCCTTGGGGTTTTCGGAGGGAAAGTACCAGAAGAAAAGGCTGGAATTGCCCGCAGGAGTATTGGGCAAAAGGCCGGCGTATGATTCCAGCTGGAAATCTACCTCTGGAATCTCATGGACCAAAAACTCTGTTCGACGTTAGTTGACGTGAGATCTTACTCTGAGATAGCCATATTAGCAGAAATTACTCTTGGTTTTATCAGTCAAGTATTTATGATCCACATGATCCCGAACCTGTGTCGTTCGGGCAGCAAGAATATTCCTCTTTTGAATTGGCCTAGCTGCTTTTGCATGGGGATTCTCCAGTCCAAAAGAGGTCCCGATGGACATAAACAAAAGAGCAGACCTTACGAGATACATGGTGAAGAATTGAGAAAACCCATGTCCTTGCAATAGCTTTGTTATGCGGTCTGGCCAATTTAAATGTTCAACACACAACGCATATGCTGCCGGGGCTTGGGGGTCTTGTCAGTGCTCAAGCAAAGCCCTGCAAGCTTTTTTTTAGCTTCAATATGACAATGATTGGTGGATAACACGCAAGGGCCCATGAAATTGCTCGAGATAAGACTTGAAGTTACAACCTAATCATCTTGGTGGACCGACAGGAAAACAATCAACGGTCAAACCACCTGCCATACTCCGTTGACTCGCTGCCAACGTTGCACTACAGCCTCTGAGCGGGGAAGGCGAATCTCACCAGCTGCTGTGCTTACATTGCCACTTAATTTATGTCGATCTCGCCAACCCGCAGTGGGAGGCTGTTTCGTAGATTCATGTCGTCAGTCACTAGCTCATGTAACCTCTGTAGCCAAGTGGGCCACTCATTAACTGATTTGGGAAGCTTCATAGGGGAAAGTGGGCGTTATTCAGCATTAGTAGTATACTCTGTATTGTGAAAGAAAAGCAAAGATAGCAAGAGACTCGTTAACATCCACAGCTTGTCTCGAAATGTCTCGCGTGATATCCTTCCAGAGTAGATTATGGCTGTCCCAGGAAGACCGGTTAACATCGGTTTCAACTCTGCCCCTTGGATGTATCTTCTGATGCAGATCAAATCATCTCATTATTATTCCTCTGCTCGGTCTGTTATTAATTTTTTTTTTCAGTTGCGTGTTATCTGGTAACGATATCAAGTTAGGTGAAGCTGAGCTATGAAACAATGCGAGCAGGAATTGGGCTAGTTTGCACGACAAGTTACTTTTAGATTACCAGAATCAATCATGTATCAGGTGGATTTGGGCAATACAATAATTAACTTCGTGGTACTGGTCTGTATGGAGCGACAACATGTAACTGAAAGGTTCCTCGAGCCCAGGGTTGAGAGGGAACCGGCAGCCAATATATATATATCTATATATCGAGGCCACATGAACAATGTCTAGGAGGAATTGGGAAAATACTATCAAAAAGTAGTGTACAAACGGAATCCCAGATCTATATTGACATGAATCTACAAAGAAGAAGAGAAAAGGAGCTTGAGAGGCCCTGGTTGACTTGATCACTGAATGGATGTTTTATATAAAATCTGGAGTGTTTGACATGTTTGCATGTTCCGGAATAGGAAGAGATTACATCAGCAGTCGCCATGATTATGTCAGATATATCACATGATGACAAATCTGAGTAATTGCAGCCTGAGGCATTAAATCATTGTGGGCTCTTCAAGCATCCAGGCATCGAGACACGTTATGGAGATACAAACATTGTCAGGGGTGCCAACTCCACCCGATTAATTATGATAACTCACACTCCAGACCGTGTATTCCTCCGTGGCACCCACATTAGGCCCGTCAACATACTGGAGACGATATCCCTTACCGTTGCCCCGGAAGGTAATCTTGATGTTGGCTGCCTCCGCGCGAGAGGAGACGAGGGTTTCGCGGGGGCCAATCCACTTGCCATCGAGGGCACTTGAGATTTGGAAAATCTGGCTCTCTTCATCCTTGGTGTAGTGGATCACCCACCGCTGTTGCTTGTCGCGGTGACCAGCGGTTGCTGGGGTCCTGCTGATCTTGGTCTTTTTGCCAGTATTTGCAAGGGCCTTGTTCTTGTGCTCAAAGACAAGGTAGCGACCCTCGGTCAAATCGCCGACAACCTCCTTGTATCCCTCCTCGAAGAACAGGGCGTCGGTTTCGTCTTGTTGACCGTAAGGCACGGGAGGTCGTCGCACGGCGTAGGTCGCCTCGCAGTTGGAGGTACCGGTCCATTTACCACCGGCGGTGTCAGGCTGCTCGGCCGCAGGGATCACCGGCAGGCTGGTATCAGGATGGTCGAGGTCGAGAGCATTCACGAGGTTCGACATGTGCTCGCGACGCCAATGAACCATTTCCGGGGTGCGAACATCCTTATAGCCACGGGCCTCGAGCCATTGTTCGAGGAAGAGGATCTGGGAGTTGTGGTCGGCCCGCTCGGTGAACACACGGCCACCCCGCGTCCAAGGGGAGACCATGTAGAAAGGCACGCGGAAGCCAGGCCCCACGAAGATCTTGCCGAAAAGGCCGTACGGATCCTCCATCCATTCGCCTGCAGTATCTTCGGGGGAGTGGAAAGGAGTGACATGGTCACCCCAACCTCCGGTCTCATCGTAGCTGACGATGAGGAGGGTGGATGAGTATTTAGGACTGCTGGTAACGGCATCGACGACCTTCTTCTGCAGCCATGCGCCGTCCTTGGGCATATAGGGGGGATGCTCCGAGAGCTCAGCGGGACCAACGATGAAACTGACTTCAGGTAGGGTGCCGTTGGCAGCGGCTTCGTAGAATCCCTCTAGCCCCAGGTATGCCAACCCCTTCTTGGCCAGAGGGGAATCGCTGGAAGCATTCTGGTACTGTTCGAACCATGCCAATGGGTTGTCATCAAAGTTGTCCGTATCTTGATAAACCTGCCAGGAGACACCTGCTTCCTCATAGATCTCGTAGATGGTTTTCCATTTGATAGGATAGCAGCTGATGTCATTGTCCTCACATCCTGCATATCATCTCTTAGCATAAACCAAATCCAATCATTCTGGTCACTGAGGGATCGAACCTGGGGTTTCGTTGTTATCGAGGTAAGGTCCGCCTTGATCGGCGCTCTGCGGGCCGCCGGGAACGTTGACGGAGCCACTCACCAAGGTGACTCGATTGGGGTTCGTGGAAGTAATTTGTCCCTCCTGTTCGACAATTAGCCTCAGGACCATGCTCGAAATCACGGCACTCACCTGGTACATGTCGCCGGCGGTCCAACCTTCGGCAATGGCAAAATGCACTGGGATATCGTTGCGCTTAAAGTATCCCCAGCTCCATGGGGTGTTATTGCGCGCCCACATGTTGTTCAGTTCGTGGTTGAGAGCTGCCTGATTGTCTGTGTAGCCGTTGTCTCCGGCTACCATGCACTGGATCGCGTTGGTCCAGTAGGTGCTGTTCTTGTAACCTAGATACCATGGGAGCAGCGTATCGGCGGACGTAGACATCTCAGAGGTTACGGTTCTACATTATAGCATTATTAGTCTCCCCCGACTAAAACGCTGCGAGTAGATTTTTCAAGTATCGTACTGGTACCAAACAGGTTTGCCATCCGAGTTGACCTGGACGTTGGGGTCATTGAAGCCTCTCACGCCGGCCATGGTGCCAAAGTACTAGTACATGGTTAATTGCCCATCTCACAAGTGAAGATCTTCCTAGAGGCCTACATTGTTCCATGATCGGTTTTCTTGCATGAATATGACAACATGCTCGATATCTTTGAGAGAGCCTGCGGCAACAGGTGTGCTCGCTCCCAAGAGCAATAGTAGGGCTGAACCCAAAAGTGCGCTCATTTTGGAACGACAGAGAGAGGAAAGCAGTCGGCGGTACTCTGCAATGTCAGGGAAAGATGGCAAAACGAAGGGTCAACAACCCTCCTTATATGCCCGGAATTATCGATGGGATTTTAGGGAACCGCCCGCCCGAAGCCCCCGCCTTGATCAAGCGCAATCCCATTCTGCATACGGCATCAGGATGCATCCGATACCAGCAGGAAACGTGCTGACCGTGTGATATCAGATTCGACAAGTGCTTGGCCGGAAGTCCTGATAGTCTTCATTTCCGACCCGCCCGTTTCGCGCAACGCAGGTCAAGCATTCAAGCTAAGTTGTGTGTTTTACCCGGTCAGCAACTAACTAACGAATAATGATCGTCCTGGCCATGCCTGAATCTGCACATGGGGTGTTGAAGAAGCGCCGCCATCCCTTAACTAACCGGTCAGAAGCAGCCATTTTGTCAGCGCGATTGAGGAGTCGGTCCCAGCGGCTAGAAGCACAGTGGAGATGCATTTCGTTCGGTGGGATGACCGTATCCGAACGTGCTAAAAGCCCCCAAACCCATTGGAAGGGATTGGAAGGCGAGATTGACAATGAATGGCGAGTTTACATGGGTTAATTTAAAAGACCCGAGTCCTTGGTGTGTAGTGGGTGCACTGAGGACTTAGTGGACGTTCTAACCCCCGATAATATGGATCTTCATCTTTGCAAGTTCGGTTTCATGCGTTGCCTCGTGCGATTCAGTTCCTACCCCTCACTCCCATTCTCCAATTGTATGCATGAGGCGGACAGGGACGGAAATGCAAGCAGAATCCAAAGGCATTCGATAAAAGGAGAAGTGTAAATTGTTTCTTGATTTTCCCTTGTCCAGCTGCGACCATGCAGCGAGACTCCAGTCGTCGACGAAAACCTCGCCCTGCGGACAAGCTGGAGGAACCTATAGACTCTGCCCGGTCTGATACACCCCAGAAGCATAAGAAGGAGGCGTCAAGCAGAGACTGGCCATGCGGATTGGTTTTATATCCCCTGGCTTTATGTCTTGTAGTTGTCCTACTCCTCTGGAACCAGTACACCACTCGGCTTGTTTTGCCGTCCTCTTTCTTCTCTCCTACCCGAATCCATCATGAACCCAACCTCGAAGAACATGATGTTCTGATGAAAAGCCCTGATGATTCACGTCCCCAGATCGAGTTGCATCCCAAGCATCACATTTACCGGGACCCAGCGACGCATTATCTAGACTGGACCGTAACGGCTGGCAACCTGAGACCGGACGGGGTGCTGAAGGACGTGCACCTGATCAATGGTCGGTTTCTGCTAAATATTCTCCACAAAGCTTGACTTAACCTGCTTCCAGGTCTCTTCCCGGGCCCAACTATCGAGGCACGCTCTGGAGATACCGTCATAGTCAATGTCACCAACGCCTTGCAGGATGAGTCCTTCACTGTTCACTGGCATGGTCTTCATATTCAAAGCAAGTGTTCACCGGTTAACTAATCGTTCCCATTGTCTCCCTATAAGAGTGCCATGATCAATGCCACTAACTACCGAACAGACTCAATGGATGGTGTTGCCGCCGTTACACAACGTCCAATCCTGCCAGGAGCATCCTTCCTCTACCACATTGATATCCCATCTGATCAAAGTGGAACCTTTTGGTATCATGGGCATGCGGGATTAGCCCGGGCAGACGGCCTCTATGGTGGATTTGTGGTGCATAAGCCCGCCCCCAAATCCACAGTGCGTGGATTGATGAGCAGAGAGGGAGACGTTTCCCTCAACCGTGGGGCAGATGAAAAAGACGTGCTTCTCATGATCGGTGATTGGTACCACCGACCAGCTGCAGAGGTAATGGCGTGGTATATGCGCGCCGGTTCTTTTGGGAACGAGGTATGATAAGTCGACTTTGCGTCTTTCTGTGCCGGACCACAAGACTAATGGCGGACATGAACAACAAACAGCCCGTTCCAGACTCCTTGGTTCTTAATGGAATTGGATACTTTAATTGTTCCATGGCTGTCCCCGCGAGGCCGCTAGACTGCATTGATAGTCCCATCAATCTATCTCGCGTTTTACCCACAGATGCCGTCTGCAGGGTAAGAGTAGTGAACACAGGGTGAGTAGCAACATGGTGGTCCTTCTGTCTCTCTGCGCACTTTCTGATAAATTAGCTTAGATCGCTTGCTGGGTTTACCCTGACCTTCGATAACCATGATGTTACTGTCCTCGAAGTGGATAGTGCTCCAGTCCAGGCACAACAAGGAACTCGTAGTATGCATTCGGTCGGCATACTGTATCCGGGCCAGCGAATGGACCTCCTTATTCGTCGGTCTACAGATGATAAATCGAGTACATTGAAGATTCATCTCGATGAAGAGTATTTCTCTCTACCCTGGTCCCCTCATATCCTCTATGTGCATGGTCGATTCTAACGAGGAATGATAGATGCTTCAAATACCCGAATCCTGCCCTTAAATCTACTCAAACATTTTTCATGTCTGAAGGTCAAGATGAAACCGAACCGACACATATTGCTGCAGAACCCCCCTCGAATGAGCAGCAGATCTCCAGCTTGATTGATGTCCAGGATCTTCCTTCTACAGAGCAGATCCTATCCCAAATCCCGCCCAGCGCCGCTGTGCAAAGGACAGAGGTCGTCTACACTAAGATCCAAAAGCTCTCAATCCGACATAATGTCCCGTACGGGTTTTTTAACAGGACATCCTGGGTACCACAAATGGACCCGGCGATCCCGTTAAATGAACTGGAGCGGGAGAGATGGGATAAGAATCAGTTTGGTATTACGATTCCTAGTCCACCATCGCTACACCAGAGAGATGAAGGGGAACAAGGCATATGGGTTGATTTGGTAGTGAATAATCTCGATGAAGGTGGTCATCCCTTCCACCTGGTACGTTCTACCCGTCCGTTGTCTTCTATTTCGAACCCAGCCGAGTCTCAGAAACCTGCCAGTCAAGGAGCCTTTACATCTAACTATGGAATATGCAGCACGGTCATCATTTCTACATTCTTGCCGTCTACAAAGCCGCCATTGGCTGGGGTTCTTATAACCCTTTCGTCGACCCTTCTCCGCCTGGTCTCGACCCCGAGAGGTTCCCGGAAACGAAAGGGTACGATCTATCCCGTGCCATGCTCCGAGATACAGTCTACATCCCCAGCCGTGCGTATGCAGTTCTGCGCTTCCGAGCCGACAACCCCGGCATTTGGCTATTCCACTGTCATATTTTGTGGCATTTAGCAAATGGCATGTCGATGCTTGTTGATGTCGGGGGGGTTTAGTTCTTAGCTTAATTCTATAGCAGGCCATTCCCGCAAACTAGAAGAGCTATTTCAGTGTACGATTACGGCCTCCAGCAGATGGAATTTTAATTCCGTCGACCTTTGGATCCCACTGGTATTCGCTCTAACTCTTTCTCCTAGTTAGACTGTGGGCGGGATTTTGATGCATCTAATACCTATTTTAACTAGGATTAGGAGAATCAGACCTTCATCGCTAAACAGTAGATTACTAGGTTTCACGAAGTGATTCCGTCGATATAGCACTTAGGCTAAAAATAGTTATTTACAGGTCATTTGAGGAAACATTCCGAGTAGTCTTTGGAGATAAATAGCCCGCCCCGCGTCTTCTAATTCCATCCAACTTTGAGGCTCATTTCAACTCGACAATGGATCACGCACATAAAAGAGAAATTGACACTTTACTGTTTGAGGGGTCTAATTCTAGGATCTTGTATCTAGCTTACGGTCTATAAAAGGAATTGATATTATGATGCTTATGTACAAAACGTTTAGGGCTTGAAAGAGCTTTTATGTTTCCGGCATGGATGGCTACGTAGCCGTACGAGTTGGAAGAGCTCGATCATTAGGAACTGGGAGCTAGTTGTGGTCGCTGCTACTACGGAGTACTCCTCTCCTAATATCTTTGAGTTACGTATGGATCCCGTTCATAGATTTCCAAAGACGACAAATGAATCGTAATGTGAGGATGTACCCTAACCCTAATGACCCCGTGTTTTGGTTCTGAGCGACGGCTTAAATTCTTAACGACGGGGTTTGAATCTCCAGCGGGGGCTAACGCCTGTAACAATGTCATGATAGCGAAACTACGGAGTACTATGTATGTTCTCCACCGTATTGGTTCAAGAACAGGAAGTGGCTGCCCAAACGACGGGACTTTTCCCTTCGGCCCTTTCGCGTACCACAGGAACGCAGGAGCATTGCCACTGGACCGGATTAAACGCATATCTATATCGTATACTATCAGTTACCCATAACCTCATTCCATAACCGTGCAATGGTCTCGAAAGATGCGGTCTATTGTCGTACCTAGTTAACGACGGCTTTTCTATGCTGCGGGATATATAAGTGGCATAGATCTCCTCGCGTTGAATCTCAATTATCATCTTCATCAGACTTCAAAGCCTTTCTCAGATACTCATATCTCAACTTTACCTTCCTATCAGTCTCCTGTCTACTTTTGCAGTTACCATGGCAGCCACTCAAACCTTCCCCCAGGCGATCAACCTGATGAACAAGCAGGAAGATGCCTCGTCCGCGAAAATCGAGCTGATTCCCGCCCCGATGCCTCATATCTTAAGGTAAGGCGTCCCCCCTGGAAGATACTTGAAGCTTCAAATATCCTAACAACAAATAGCAAAGGAGACTACCAAGACTTCAGGGCCGAGCTCTATGAGAATGGATTTGCTGTAATCAAAGGGGCCATTCCACTGGATCGCGCGGAGAAGTATTGCGAAAAGGCCCACGACTGGTTACGTTCATTCGGTACCGACCTTGACTTCGACAACCCAGATACATGGGTTTCGGAGAATCTGCCGCACGCGAATCAAATTCGAACATATGCCGACTACTGCGTCAACCACGAGAAATTTATGTGGGATGCTAGGCTGGAGCCGGGCGTTGTGGACGCGTTTGCTAAAGTCTGGGAGACCGATGAGCTTCTTGTCAGTTTTGATAGCTTGAACATCACTTTCCCCAACCGCAAGGACATTCCAAGGCGCAAAGCCTGGGAGCACATTGATCAATCTCCGATGCGACGTGGCCTTCACTGCGTCCAGGGAATTATTGCCCTCTCTCCCTCCGGACCCGACGATGGAGGTCTTGTTGTGTATCCCAAATCCCACAAGTTCAATGACGAGTTCTTCGGCTCACAGTCCGACAAGAAATCCTGGCTACCATTCAAAGACATCTATATGCTTCCTCAGACCGAGTTGGACTGGTTTACGGCGCGCGGGATGGGCCCGCACAAGGTCTGCGCAGAGCCCGGCGACCTGATCCTCTGGGACAGCCGTGTGATCCACTACGGTTCAGAGCCAACTGAGAAGAGCAATCAAACCAGGACAGCCATATACGCAGCATACACGCCGGCTTCGATGGCTACCCCTGAGCAGTTGGCTTTGAAAAAACAAGTTTTCGAGAAGTACGGTGGTACAACTCACTGGCCCCATAGCCATATCGCAGTCCGCAATCCACACGTTATGCTCCCTGATGGCACACGAGACCCCCGCGACCGAGATCAGCCACTCGAAATACCGGAATTCTCGGATAGGTTACTCAAACTTGCTGGAGCGAAGTCGTATTAAGTTTTGTCGTTATTGAGACCCTGAATTTGTTGAAGTTTTTTTTGTTCTTTTTCCCAAATGTTTTATGTATATAAAGATAAAGATAACCAAATTAATGCTTATTGATCGACCTTTTTACATAGTTATCCAAATACCTAAATGTATAAGCCAGAATCCTAGGAACAGCCAGTCTACTTCTTTCGCCTGGGTTAAGGCCTGGCTGTCTAATCATAGAGCTCTCTTCCGGAATCCCGTCGTCTAGAGCGGGAAAAACGTCGTATAACGGCCAGTGTAGATAACAAACGCTCCACAGCGATCTTGGCTGGGCCAATAGTCTTTGCTAATTCTAGTGTCCATCATTTCTCTTTCCCAACTACCCGGTAGAGTTCGAGTTCGTACATGAGCGCCATGGATGGGTGCTACCGCGTAATAAGCTGCTCTCCGCTGGTTACTGGGTCCTCAGCAGGGGACCCAAGGTATGAAAGTAAAGCGTAGAGATTCATTCTCATATTTTGGGGTTTCCCCAACTCGTGACTGTGAGAGATGATGATCTTGGGATATTCGTCGAAGTGCTATTAGAGACCGAGCCTGTACCAAATCCGCATCGGCAGTTTTCCACTCGGAAAACAAATTCTGCAGACTACCATTTCAAGGCCGGGATGAGAAATCTATCCCGTCATGGGACGGCGCCGGACAGCGTGCGCGATATGCGCATCACTGAAGACCCAGTGCCTCGACGGCCGCCCTTGCTCTCGCTGTCGGAGACTCAACCTGCCCTGCACCGACGCCCAAGCGAATAGGGCCACTGCAGCGAGTATGCCCGTCCTCAAATCCAGAAAAAAGGTCAGCCATACGAGATCCGCTATGGGGTGCTCTAACTGCCGTCGACGTCGAAAAAAGTGTGACGAGAACTGGCCTATCTGCGGTGACTGCTCAAGGTTAAGCTTACGCTGCTCTCCCCCCGTTTGTGTAGAGCCAACACACTCGGCTTCACCAACAGAGCTTGCACAAGCGGAATACACGATTACTCCCTCCGCCGATATTGCCACGGGGCTGATTCTAGACCCGACTTTCAACCGCATATCTCTAACATCATGGGATGCCATGAGGGACCCTAGTTCCTCATTTTCGGTACTGCCAAAGCCCTTCGCGGAGTGGGTTAATCTGATTTGCAGCGACAATGATGTCGGGATGGTGAAGATGGCGAATCTAGCGAATAGCACTGCGTCAAAGAACCTTACATCCTCCCATCTAGGCGGCGACGGGTTGGAGCAAGGGGTAGTTCTACCGTCCGCGGCTCTCTGCAAGCTAACGTGCATCACGCCGCTAGCTCTACAGGACTGGGACATTGCGCAAAGGCACCTGTTGAACCATTTCGTCCAAACCGTTTCTCGAGCATTGGTCGCGGTTCCAGACGATCGAAATATTTTCCTCCGCACCCTGGTACCCATGGCCCTTACAAATCGCGCCGTGAGATTCTCTCTTACTACTCTTTCAGCCTGCCATATTTCAAATGTCTACCCGGAGTGGCAACGGGATGTCATGATGCTGCAAGGTCTAGCCCTGGAGGGACTGAAAGCCGAGCTGCAGAGCCCTAGTAGGCTCTCTTACGCTCTGGTCGCGACCCTTCTTCTTTGTCTCACCGAGGTAGGAAGCCGATTTATTCTAGGTCGCCGGATACCCAATGCTTGACGGGATGCTGACATGCCCAGATCTGCCAGGGCACCTCGCAGAAATGGCTCCTGCATCTTCATGGGGCCAAGGCATTGCTAGACAGCGTCGACGACTACTCCCTTGGCCTAAATGCGGCCCTGATGAATATCATAGACGTGTACAACTACCTTTGCTGTGCGGCATCAACGACATCCGATGATGTGCCTGCCACTATCGAAAGAGAATCACTAAACGAAAGGGGCGGAGTCAGCGAAAATAATGATGAAGCCCAACCCCTCGTGTTTGGGATTCCCGAAGAATTGTATCGGTTGCTGAACCGCGCGAATTTCCTAGCTGCCAAAGGCCGACACGATGGATGTGATATGGAGGAGATCCGGGAGATCGAGCGCATGGTCAAGCGCTGGAAGCCCGGGCGTGATCTGTCGGAATCATCCGAGGAGCAAGCAGCTGCTATTGCAATGCAGACGGCGTTGTTGATGCTTCTACAGCAACGACGGGAACGATTAGCTAACGATGATCCTATGATGAGAAAGATGGCCAGCGATATACTGGTGGCTTTGTCGCAAATCAGACCGGGTTCACCTCTGGAGGCGCGTATTCTGTTCCCCATATTCATGGCTGGGGTGGGGAGTATGAAAAAGTCGAACCGGCTAACCGTCGAGTACCGGTTGAATATGATGGCGACCAAAGGGCTCGGAAACGTATTTGTGACGCTCAAATTGCTTGATGATATCTGGCGACGTGCCAACCGCGGCGACATTGTGGATTGGGAAGTCTTGCTACGCAGTGAATATCCTGGTCTAGTCTTTGCATAGAATTAATCGTCGCGGTGTTTTTAGTACTACTGGGTTCTCAACCCATGGAGCTTCCACCCTTCATTTTCGACATTTGTTGGTATATAAATATTAGTTATTTCACGGATCTTTCAAATATTTTGGAATAAGACAAGGTATCGAAGTATAAATTCAGCAACGTCCCTTTGTAAATCACCCACGGTCAGGGCATTCCCCGTTGCTATGGATGGCGATGGAGTAGTGATTGAATGAAAGCATCGCACTCTGTACATTTGGTCAGCTAGTCTGGTCAATTCAAGACTACACACCCTCACGTACCTTTCTCCTGTTGGAAATCGAATTGCAGGGACTTCACCTTCCGCACAGTCCCCGAACGCGAGGCGCCCGATGTGTAGGAGTCGTGGGAAAAGCTCGTGCCGGTGCTTTCCACCGAGTCCCGTCGTTGAAGAGCATCTCGCGCCCTTTGCAGCTTTACATCGCGTTTTCCGGATTTTCGAGGAACCTCAAATCCTCCCACTGTAGCAGGTTCAGTTAGCAATTCAGAGCTTAAATCAGCGGAGCGCATGGCCGGGGGAGAAACAGACCTGGCCATTCAAGGAATCCTGCCAGCGCGTTTGATCCTCGATTGGACGCAAAATAGAGAATATAAGTTTCGCCAGTGAGCCGGTCTCTTAGCACACGAACGGTTTCCAGGGAACAATGGTCCCCGACGGTGCTCGAATGGATGCGTTTGACGTCGCCGCAGAACAGGACCTCGCGTCTCAAGATCACGCTTTGGAACATGTCGAAGTCTTAATGAGGGCGTTAGATGATTGATTACCAACTGTCTTCCAATAAGGGAATGCGGGGGTTGTTTCCATACCTTGCTTGTCTTGACATATATAAATGGGCGAAATGTGGGCTCGTTTCACCGACCCGTTTTCCTCGATTTTGACGCGATGAGAGCCAACAAAACGGATGCAAAGTCGCGATCCAAACGAAGTCGAGTACCCGGTATGTGGCACGTATGGGATCATGGTGCTCTCCACGGTCTTCGATAAGTGTTCTCTATCGACCAAATGGGTCACCCGGATCCCGCTCTCAAGGTTCACGCCCTCAATCCACTCCGGTTCGCTGCTGCGTTGGTTGAAATAAACCGTCACCTGGCATGCCACAGGGCGATGGATTTGACGGTTCTGGTGGCGAGGGTCTGGGAAAATTCTTATTATGGCACGTCAGCTACCCTGTTGTCTTTTGTTCACTCTCAATAGGAAGAGGTACATACACTTGCACGGGTTGGTTGGTGAGGGACAAAGGTTGGACGCTCGATGTGCGGTCGGACCCAATTGAAGATGGCGATCTGGAACCAAGATAGTATGATTCCGAGGAAAGGCTGGGGGTCAGAGGGGTCCCTGTATCGCACATTATTGGTATCTCAGTTGGAGATACGGTGATTTGAGGACAATCTGTCGGGGGCGATGAGGCTTGGGTAGGGCTGTACGTGGGCTCTGGAGATGATCGATGCCAGGTTGGAGGGACGAGCGTCGCGTCTCCAGGATGTATGCGGAAAGAGTGTACGAGTTGGAACTGTAACCACTCGTGAAATTGCTCCCATTCTTCTGCTGCGTTATTCAGGACCTTGGTGGGTTTGGTGGTGTCATCATATACTACGGATAATGGTCGAGTCGGCACCGAGACGTGCTCGTATCCGACTTTATCCAAGGCTTCCCGAACGTTGTCACTAATACGATTGAGTAACCCAAGTACCGGGTCAACTATTGCTGTCCCCGTGCCGGTGTGGCTGGATTTTTGGCTGCGTTTAACTGGATGCGCCCGGTCTGAAGCCGTGACGTGACCTCCATTGGTATCTAGGCGCATTACAAGATGGCCCAGTTTCTCTGTAATCTCCTGGATGCGATCCAACGCTTCTTGACTAGACTGGCTTCCCTCGCTGCTCGGCGGGTACAACACGTCGTTTTCGGGAATGGAACCGAGACCGGGCCAGGGATCAAGCAAAGAGGGTAGATGCCGGCGCTGCAGCCCGGCCAGATACTGGACATCCAAAGCCGGGTCATCGGTAGATCCATCGAGGAGACATCGTCGGAGGATCGAGGTAACCTGTACGCTCATAGTTCTGCCATCCGCATCAAGAACATCAGCACAGGTTCTCAGGGGGGGCAAAAAAGACCGGTAGGGACAACGAACTTAATCGCCTTCAGCAGTTCCAAGTGATCCAGCCTCGCTTGCTCTGATTCCCGCACTAGTTGCTTGGTCACATCTCTTGTGTTCGCCGTAACCTTGAGAATTGCAATCTGCGTGTAGCGTTCTAAAAGTCGTCGAAGGCGCTCCGCCTCTTCGCGCTCAAGCGGCCAGGAGACCTGATCCCATACGGTCAAGACTTTTGTATGGAAACTAGGCCGCCGGCCATTCATCAATTTAGACGCATCACAGGCGAGGGATTGGTGCCTCCTAATAAACTCCGTACATCGCGCTATCGTGTGTTCATAGGAAGACCCGAGTTCCAAGTCGTCTTCTGGAGCAGCCGCGGAAACGTTCTGTAGCTTCTCTAACGCAACTTTAACCAGGCCAAATTCTGCTTGGAAATATGCAAACTCGCTCTTTGCCGACTTCGAGCCCCAACCAAAGCTCTCGTAGATCGACCAAGCGATGGTCGCGGCTTGCACAAGGTCCCCCACCCCCCATCCAAAGCTCATGATAGGGAGGGGCACTGAGAAAAGAAAAAATGGAGTCTAGTTCAGTATACTGGGCCTTTCCGATAATGATTTGGAACGACGTCTGCGTTTTGGGGGAGGTGGCAGTATTGTTTCAGTCCTACCCCCGATGTAAGCGGTTGGTTGATATGAGGGCCGGTAGCAGGCGTGGTTCTGTAAAGGTTCTTGAAGGAGGCAAGAAAGGAGATAGAAATTGGAGTACAATACAATAATAAAAACGGGAGGAGAGAAAGACCAACGAATCATGATATATTGCAAATGGCTCCCACTGTTTCTCCGCTCTTGTCCAGGACGCCTTGGACAAATGACATTTAGTTCAGCCTAATGCCCGACAAGTAAGCTTCTCTGGCCAGTACATATATGCAAATTGCCATCCTTAGTACTTTTAAGATATAGTAAGTTACCTTGTTAAGGGGCCAGCAAGAGGCACGCGACTGTGTCCTCCCACAATATTCCCTTCAGCCTGTTTCTTTTCTGCATCAACATGCGATCTGTGTTGCACCGGGGCCTCAATCCTCCATGGGTTTTCATTCAGATCGAGTCTAGCAAGCAGCGAGCGGGATTATTCGCCTGTTGCGGCTCTTAGGACGTCATTAATAACATTTATATCTCCTAGAAGACGCAGCTAACTTGTTTTCTTTCTTCCGGACGAGGCTCAGCGCGTGGCCACGCACAGCTTAGGGTCTATTCCGATCCAATGGAACTAAGCAGGGCGGGAACGTGCTGGAAGGAGACGGTGGGGATTCTCGGAAACAAATGAGGGTTTCCTCGTGTACATTTGAAGTTCCTCCGTGTGAGTGAGGGGTCCAATCCGTATACGGCTAACCCTAACTACTAGTTACTGCGCGCCAACGAATCGCATTGACCTCACATTGGTCATATACGAGGAGCATGGGCAGCCATTTTCTGCAAGGTGCTGGGCTAGGAGATAGCAGAGTTCCTGGGGGCGCAGCAACACAGACGTTTGGGCCACTGAAATGGCGGCAAAAATCACGTATTCATACTCCGTCCTCTCTAATAGGTTTGGCTTTTATATTAACCCATGACTACTGACAAGTACTAGATGTCTCTCGGCAGCAGCTCAAATCTGGGCAGGGCTAAAAACCACCGCCAGGTTCCCGGAGCCATGTAGTATTCCGCCCCGTATCGGGCAAACTTCCCCTGAAAGGTCAAGGGTTTATCAGAGACCGTCATGTTTCTGATCAAATAGTGGTCGTTATAAACCGGTCTATGCGAGAAGAACTGTGTGTTGTGGTGTCTACCCTCCTCCGTCTCGGAAAATGTCGTTGTTTCCGTTTATTACATTGCATCTCAATCCGTGGCGCGACTATGATAGTTTTCAACACCATACAGTAAGTAGAGACTCTAGAATGTCATGATAAGATCTGAATCAGGCTCATTGGTTTCACCGCACAGCTAGCGCAGCGGCGCAAGTACATGATCGACCGTTTAGAGAATGCCAGACGGCGAGAAAGGCTCTGGGTGGGAATCGTAGCAGGGATCGGGTTTTTTACAGATGCATACGCGGTATATTCAGGCTTCTGTGGATCATATTACCGGATGAATTGCTAATGGAGTAGATTTTCTCGGTCAATATGGTCAACCCCATGCTGGGGATTGTGTACTGGGGTGGTGCCAATAATATGCCACATAGCTATGAAGTCGCGCTTAGTGTCACTACCCTCGGCGGCGCATTGGTCGGACAGGTTATGTTTGGCATTGCCGCCGATATCTGGGGCCGACGGAAGATGTACGGACTGGAGCTGGTCATCTTAATCTTTACAACCATCGGAGTAGCTCTGGCTTCGTCGGGTGCGGAATCGTCCATGTCCGTCATCGGCCTCTTGATCTTCTGGAGGTTCTTTATGGGCCTGGGACTGGGTGGTGATTATCCTCTCTCGGCAGTGATATGTTCAGAGTATGTACCAATCCCACCCACAACAAGTGTCATCAGCCTATTGACCTTCTGGATAGGTTCGCCCCTACGCCCATCCGTGGCCGGATGCTTGCAGCCGTTTTCTTCTGCCAGTCTCTCGGCCAATTAGCGGCAAACCTCGTTGCGCTCATCGCAGTAGCCGGATTTCGCCATAGACTTCTTGCAGACGGCACAGAGAATGGTTGCACAGGGTCCTGCATTCGCGATGTGGACTCGATCTGGCGCCTGATTGTTGGACTCGGAGCGGTCCCCGCGTTCATCGCCCTCTGGTTTCGACTCACTATCATCGAGTCTCCGCGTTACACAGCTGAAGTGACCCATGACAGCTTGCAGGCCGCAGCAGATGTTTCTTATTTCTTCCAGTCCACGGATGCATCCGTCCCTATGCTAAACCAGGGTGAAATGTCCCGTGTTGATTCTGTCGCTTTATCCCCCACTCATACAGCTTCTGATTTTACGGCACCAAGTATTCGCTCAGTTCGTCTCGGAAGCGAAGAAGGATCTCCTCCGGTTGACTTACGGACTTTTTTGACAGCTTTCAAGAGCTTTGTCGGCAATCCAAGAGCATTTCGGGTCCTATTTGCGACTTGCCTCTGTTGGTTCTGCTTGGACCTTCCTTTCTATGGCCTGGGTTTAATTAGTCCTCGTGTTATCAATACCATCTGGTATGGTGATGATATCCCGGCGAGTAATGTTTTCCAGTACCTTTTCCAAAACTCTTATCAAAGTATAGTCGTTGTCTCCTCTGGAGCGGTCGTTGGCAATTTATTATGCATCCTAACAATTGACCGACTGGGACGACGCAATATCCAACTTAGCGGCTTTTTCTGGCTCTTCATTCTGAATGTCGTGATCGGGGCTACTTTTCGCCCTCTGGTAAAGAGTGGTGACTCCTCCGCCTTAATTGTGTTGTACATACTGTCTCAAGTATTTTTCAACTTCGGTACGTTTCATGGTGATCCTACTACGCCTCCCCTTCGTCAACACCCGAAATGATGGGAGACTAACATTTAGGGTTGAATGTGGTCAGGACCAAACACGACGACCTATATTGTAAGTGTCTCACCAACCTCTAGATTCCGGTATCCTCACTAATAGCATGTGTCTTAGATTCCGGCGGAAGTTTTCCCGACTAGATTTCGTTGCACATGCCACGGACTATCTGCAGCATTTGGAAAGCTTGGGTCCGTCATTGCACAGTGCTTTCTGGCTTATGTGAACTTTGGCCACGGTAGAAATTATAACGACGTCCCCGACTGGCTGGGATATGCCCTTTTATGGTGAGGACCCGGTCCTCAAGTGGCTGCTTTTCATGGATTTGCGATCTAATCAATTGTGTAGTCTATCTGCATTCATGCTCCTGGGACTTCTAATCACCTACTTCCTTATCCCAGATATTAAGGACTCTGATGGCCACATCAAGTCTTTGGAACAGCTAGCGGAGGATATTTTGCCTCACGAGACAGAGCCGTCCAGCATGACTCTGGCAACTGGAGCACCTGACAGCCAGGTCCAAATGCGGCCGACATTTCGGATGGATTCAGGCGATGTGTGACGAATTTCCGCCATGATTTACCTCTATACCAAGATAGTTCATTCATCAATGTATTATAATTTAGCTACATATTATCGCATATAAAATCGAGCAAGATATGTTTAACCCCAGAGACTATAGATGTATATAGTTGTGAAGAGACTTTACAAGTATATCTGGTGTCACGCCTGGTGTGTAAGTCATGGCCACCACCGCCATGTAAGCAACAGACCACATATATAATAACGTGAATCAAGTAGGAAGTGTGACTGAGCTAGCCGTTGAATATGGCTACCCGGATCATCGCGTCCTGGTGCCAATATAATCACTCCATCCGGGAATGAACTTTAGACAGGAATAGCTCGCCAACTAGCTTACTCGTATCTTGAGGATACTCACAGGATGTCTAAAATCAAACCATGCTGCCTGCTGGTCTTATCTGCTATTCTGACATGATTGACAGTAAGCCACGTACAAAGTGGGTGTCCGGATTGCAGTCTGTTGCCAAAGAGCGAATCTTCTGATATCAGTAGTGTCCTGATTTGCCAGAACCAGCCCGATGTTACACCCGCTAAAATGTAATCAAACCCAACAACCCCCTTTCATGAAGAAGTGGGGGAGTAAAGATAACATGGCTAAGCTAAAAGACAAGCCTCGGATCGATAGCAACAAGCCTTGTGGATTTCTTTTGTTAACTGTGATTTCACTGTCCTCAGCATGCGGTCTTTCGTGCTTGTCTCGTTGTTCGGGTGCTTCTCAGCAACAACATGGGGGCAATTCGTCGAGATCCCAACCAATTTCACCAATACCAAGGGATACCTCGATATCCCCGTTCGCTACAAGGAAGTTCCTACTGGAATTTGTGAGACGGATCCTAGCGTGAAGAGCTTCTCCGGCTACGTTGACGTCGCCGAGCACGAGCATATTTTCTTCTGGTTCTTCGAGGCGCGGAATCAGGATCCAAAGCATGCCCCATTGACTGTCTGGATTAATGGAGGTGAGTCAAATCACAGCTGAGCGTCGATCTATAGAACCTGCTCTGAAACTCCTTAGGTCCTGGTTCTTCCTCCATGATTGGCCTGTTTCAAGAAAATGGCCCTTGTGGAATCGACTCCAATGGTTCCATATACAACAATCCTCACTCCTGGTCCAATGTGAGTAACATGCTTTACATTGATCAGCCCGTCCAAACCGGCTTCTCGTATAGCATTCCTGTCCCGGGCTATGTTGATTCCTCCACGGACGATGTTATTACTTTACCGTCAACAACCTGCCCCGACTACGCGTCTGACCTCTCGTGCGGGACGTACTCGTATCCTAATGTCAGTCTGACGGCTAATTCGACTGATAACGCAGCGCCCAATTTCTACCGTACCCTACAGGGCTTTATGGGGGCCTTCCCGCAGTACTCCAGAGAGGAATTTCACTTTACCACTGAGAGTTACGGGGGACATTATGGTCCGGTTTTTGACGAGTATATCGAGCAGCAGAATGCAAACCTCCCTCATGGCGCTAAAAAGGTCAAGTTGAGAAGCGTGATGATTGGCAATGGCTGGTATGACCCGCTTATTCAATACCAGGCGTATTATAATTTCACGGTCAGTATCTGGTGATAATACAACAACGAAGGGAGATGTACCACTAACCCTAGGGCTCACAGGTCTACCCGGGGAATACGTACGACTACCTGCCTTTTAACGAGTCTATAAGCTCCATGCTGTATAACAACTTATATGGCCCCGGAAACTGCGTTTCTCAGCTGCTGGACTGCGCAGCTCGAGGAACTAATGAAATCTGCAGCACGGCCGACTCGTTCTGTGCTAACCTGGTCGAGAACGTCTATGACACCTACCTTGGCCGGGATGAATATGACTTCCGCGAGCTCACTCCGGACCCATTCCCTTACTCATTTTACATTAACTATCTCAATCAACCCTCAGTACAGGCTGCAATCGGCGCCTATGTTAACTACACCGAAAGCAACAATGCCGTATACCTGGCTTTCTCGTCCACTGGCGATGATGGCCGCCTCATGCGTACTACGGAAGACATTGCCAAGCTTGTTGATCAAGGTGTAACCGTCGTCATGTACGCGGGAGATGCCGATTACAATTGTAATTGGCTTGGTGGTGAGGCCGTGTCCATCGAAGTCGGGGCGCCACACTTCAGCAGCGCGGGTTATACGGACATCATCACCTCCGATGGCATCGTACATGGGCAGGTTCGACAATCCGGCCGGTTTGCGTTCGTCAGAGTGTACGAAAGTGGCCATGAAGTGCCATTCTACCAGCCAGTTCTTGCCCTGGAGCTCCTTGAGCGCGTTATTTATGGGAAAGATGTTGCTACCGGTAAACTCTCCGTGCGACCTGGATATCAAACAATTGGAACCCCAAAAAGCACTTATCGAGAAGGGAATAGTACCCTGCAATGGGAAGTGACAAACTCGTTGGCAACCTATAATACCACCACAAATGCGCCCAACCCGACAAGCAGAAAGTCCAAGAGAGCAGGATTGAAGAACGCTGCACTGCGGTTTAGAATGTAACTATGAGCCTATTACATACACTTTGAATGTACATACATTACTGTTAAAAGGAATTGTGGAAGTCACCCTAACTATACATAATTCGGTCAACAATATACTATAGCCAGCAGAGACAATGTAATTTATCATTTAAGACTGATAAGCATTTCCTGTGAATAGAATCTTAAAACTTAAAAGAAACCTCCCAATCTTGTAAATTATTCTATATTCTGTTTCCCAATTTCAAGGTACCCTGGTTTCAGACGCAGTATATAAAAGACCGCCCATAAGCCCCTAAGATCACGAACTTAGGCCCAAGAGAAATGGCAAGTATCTTTCGTACTAAATGGAGTGAAACCTTCCACAATATTGTTATAGGTTTGTCTAAAGGAGTGGCTGGGCTTGACTCTCCTGATTCTGGCCATTCTAGTGGCGTTGGATTGGGTGGATGCCATAGAAACAGTCTCTGAATTTGCCAGATGACGATCACAGGTACCACCAGGGATGATAGTGTCTTTGGCCATGGACTGCAAGGTCGAATACTGATGGAAGATATTTCCCCAGTTTGGCTGAACTGACCCGAAGCCGCCGGGAACAACTTTGTCATAGATTCCGACGACGGTATTTTGAGCCACATTCTAAACTAGTGTTAGCAGGGAGCCCTTCTTATTTCCTAGCTTCATCGACCTGTTTACCTCAACCTGGTTTGAGCGCGCGTATTCATCGGGCACATTTGGATCCTGGTTGTAGTTATCTAACCAGGTTTGGCTGGCTAATATGTCGGTTAATAGATGCCATTGTTTTCCTGCTGCCTACTAGAGATCATGTTTGATAACTGGGAAGTATAGAACATACATGATAGAGTCTCACCATACGCCCCCAGTAGATCGAGACTATGGCCCGTTTCATGAAGTGCAACATCCAAATTCTGACTTGTTGTACCAGAGAAGGCAATGTTTCCGTTAGAGTTGAAGGCCCAATTATCGCCAGGAATAGTCAGAACATGTCGAACCTAGTTATTATCTATTGCATTAGTTTCGGCAATTAGAATAAGATTCAGGATTATTGCATCGCACCCAACTGCGCATCCTCACGGGAACCCTTCCAAAAGTATCAATGATGGTATCTATGCTATCCGACGAGCTCTTGTGGCGGCAAAAAGACCACGCATCACCACACTATCATTTGTTAGAGATCATGTTCAATTCCTCGTATACTCTAGGTAGTGATCATCTCACATCGCCATAGAATACATCATACACCTCAAAATCAGTGGGGTTGAGCTGCTGGTCCTCGGCAATACTTTTGCAGTCGGCCGGAATCCAACCATCCTCCCATTTACCGTAATGGCTTGCGGCTGGCTGAAGATTATCCGTATTTCCCTGCAAAAGGTAGTCTAGATTGGGTGTTAGGGCTGGCTTGTCCAGCGTTTGTGCCTGAACAACGGTGCAAAGTATAGCCATTGCAGACAAAAATTTCATAGTCGACATGGAAGGCATTCTTGCCGGTATGGAAGGATAAATCGGAAGTAGTAGACAATGACGAAGGAACAGCGAGTTTAATCTGTATTCATTATATTCCTTCAGACCTCCAGCGAGTACTATGCAGTACATTTATATGCTCTCGCTCAGGAACCATGTGATGTTAACCGGCTGTGGAAGACATCTTCACAGCCCTTGAGTGGATTTCGCCAAGTCTGCTACAAGAAAGAATAGTTAAATGAAAAGTGTTGATCTTCCTGCAGATACCGTTCAGGGTGCCTAGAAGGTTTAGCTTATACGGCATGCCCAGCAACCTGTCTGTCTAAGCCTTCGTGATCCCGGATATTTCCAGCTTTGCAATTCTCGACTCACTCGCAAGCTTTCTGGCCCCCATTCTTGGCGAACCCGGCGTCTGATCTACTATCCAATCTCCTGCCGTGAATCTTGGTGCTATATGCGTTGGGTGGACGATGTTACTATAGGAAGGGGCAGCTAACGCTCTACACTCATTTCTAATCGAATCCCTGGCTCAGTAGTCTATACAGTAAGCCGAGCCTCACAGTCGATAGCTGCCTTGAAACCAGGCCTATCCTATGCTATATTGAACCCCACAAATTCTCATTATATACACAAACTCAATGCAAGCTTTAATTGCAACATGGGCTTCCGATTTACATGAAGGGTAGAGCCAGTTTTGATTTTAAACTTGTAAAAGGCCAATATATGCATAATTTGCTCTCCTTGGGTAACATAAAGCATTATGGGATCAACCAGCGAAACGTTATGGGGCTTTATGTGCGCTGTAGCAACCCCATTACGGTATGTAATCCACGCCTGGTGGCTCAGCTTCTAAGTCGCAATGATCGCTGGAATTGCGGTATCCACTTTCTATTTGTAGGCGAGGGCACAGTCAGTGAAGGAGCATCACTCAACGCATTAATTTAGCTCGAGTATAACGTCAATTCGTTTCCCCATCCAGACAAATGTTCCAGTTGAAGCGAGCCATCCGAGTATACCTACTTAGCACATATCAAAACTTTGAGATCTGCCGCTTACATACCATAACATTGAGACATATCGGAATGGGAGGCCTGGGTTAAAAATAACACAGGCTATGATTTTTTTTATATTGGTCCTGTATTTCAAACTTTCGCCCCCAGTGTGAGGAAGCTGGATTGGCTTTTTAACTTCCCCTTGTAATAGTGCCCAAGCCCTAATCTCGGGGTCCAGACTCCCAAGGTACAGGGTATTGGGAAGGAGATGGTATATTATCCAGAAAAATATATGTAGCGAAGCTAGCTCTAGATATATGAATGTAGAGTATATCATTTGGGACATGAAGCCCTATATATACTATTCGATGACCTTTCAGGTAACAAATTCTCCTGCATTCCTCGCGCGGAGCTTTTATACTTGAACTCTAGGTTTCACACTCGCATTTAGGATGCCTTTGTCTCTGGCATCCATTCTGCAACGTATTTAGGGCATGCTCTTGGTTCAGAGTAACTGCACTCTATGGCAATGCGGATAATTGTCACTATATCACTGTTTGGCCACATATTTCATCGTGGGCCTAAAGGTTCTTTCTAGCCTCTGGAACAGAGTCTTTATCCTTCAACAAGTATCATAGGCGACTCTTCGGTCTGAATATTGAATATTTAGTTAAGTTGAGAAGTATCAACGGGAGGAAGGGATGGCTCCTGTCTAAGAAAAGTGAAATAGCAGCAGTACACCAGATATTGATTGCATATAGTCGCACGAAAAGTCTCGAGCTACTCCTATAGCCAGAATATTGCTGACTAGATCTCACCATAATCAAAGCATCGCCTCACACTCGCATGTTCAAACTATGATCCCCTAAGTAAAGATTCAAAAAGCCAGTCAAACACGATATACAGTACATTCAGGCAGCCCAACTCACATGTAGCTTTTCTCTTCTGGAATTAGTCAAGCAAAATGCGTACATGCCTCAGAATACATTGATTGAATGCAAGCCTTTTTCTCCTCCCACCATGGTTTTTGACGACACTCAGATAATAATCTGTGCTTTTTTAAACTGAGTATCTGTAGCCGAGTGGAGAGAAAATCGTCACTCAATTATCCCGGGCGAAGCCATAGCGCCAGTTATTCACTGGGGTGTTATTGAGCAAGGCAGGGGACAAGAATATTCTTTTCACTTGCCTGGGCCGGCAGGGCTACTGGCCACCCATCAGAGATTCCATTTCTGTCTGGCTTGCAACCTGTGCCATCAGAGCAGCACCTACGCCAGACCCATCCTTTGCGAGACCTATGCGAACTCTTTGCTCGCCAGCATGTCCAATCTGAGGTACTTCCCTCATAGCGCGACGCATGTCCTCCTCGAATGTCGGGTACAACTCTATGAGAGACCCATCCGCTCCGATGTCAATTATATCCTCCTCAGCATAGGATTCGGATTGGTTTGGTGTATATTGCGATGGCATTTGAGATGACGACTTGCGAATCAGTGAACCCATTCCGACCAAACTAAGAAGCCGGTGGCATAAGAGGGTCAGATGATACCGGAACCGTCCAATGCCACCTATCGATCGATTGAATCTTGTGCGTCCTTGATATTGTTTTCCTGGAGAAGGATTGGGGCCTTTTGAGCCCTTGGGAGTCGCCTGGAGCCGCCCACTTTGAATGATCATAGCGGCTAGTGAGGCTCCTGCTAAGCGTGCAGCCCGTCGGGCAATGGAATTGGCTAGTAAATGTACGGCCTGGGCATCAGAACCGCTGACGTCTAGCGCAGACAGTGTATCTTGAATCAGCTTGATGGTGTTGTTGATGTCCTGCGTGCCTGCCAGGGCAAGTTGTGAGAGGAAGGAACTATCAATACCGTCTCGACGGAATAATGGTGACTCCACATCCACCTTCATGTTAAAAGCGCCGGCTCGTAATAGTCGCAGGATTACCAATCGAAGGAGCTCCCCAAGATAGAGTCCCGAAACTCTCTTTTCCAGCATCTGAGAGCCACGATCCGTTGACGCTTCATTAAGCTCGTCGTCGAAGGTTGTGCTGGGTAAGACCTCCATCTTGTCATCGAAGCAACCCCACTCAGTGTTAATTACCATGACATCGTCTTCATTAGCCGGCATGCTCAGCTTTCCGATATTAGACATGCGTTCGACATATGCGGCATTGGTTCCTGTCCCAAGAATGATCGCCCCAAGTGTTGATGACCTCTGCCCGGAGCAATATGATCTTGTCAAGAGCGTACCAACGCTATCGTTCGCCAGAACTGTTACTTGGATTGGTAATCCAAATCTATCAATTGCCTCTTGCAGCATGCTACAGGGATCTCGACCGATGGCATCGGGAATATCCCAACCTTTATCCCAATGAAGGAGTCGTCCACTAGCCAGCGACGTTTGCTCGCAAGTGAAACTGAACGTGAAGCCCAACTTGTACTGGTACTTAGCTGTACCGTCCGTGGCCGGCGTACAACAGATATCTAAGTGTGTATTGAAAAACTCCGATATCCTCTCTGCGATGAAGTCGAAAAGAGGTGTATAACTGCGGTTGACCATGACGCCTGGCGGGACACTGTGCTTGTTCTGCGTTACCGTAAAAGTGGAATCACCGTGCAATTGGACAAGGCATATTCTGCAATTGCTACCACCGAGATCCACGGCTAAGAATTCGCCCTTCTCGCTCCCATTTGGCACGGCTCTCACGTAGGCAAGTAATTGCCAAACACGGTGGTTTGCGAGACCATCCCCTGAACTCCTGTCAGCACTATGCGTAAAGCCAAGTTATCGGGAGTATCCTCACTCATCTGCTTTACAAAATGCCTTGTCACTTGTTGAATATGTTCGGAGCCGATCTCGAAGTCGTCAGCAATCTGCTGCGCCTGAGCTAGCAGGTTGGATTGCTGCCCATCTACCGCGTTTTCCATGGTCGACAACGGCAACAGCCACGGTGATGGAACTCGGTAAGCCGTGGGATTATCTGTAAATCAGACATTTCTAGTGACTGAAGGATTAGGGGCCGTCTTCTCATGTACCGAGATCCTCGTTGTTCTCTAGAGACCGTGCTCGATGCGACTTTTGGATCCGTAAACGCGTGGGCCCAAAGATCTTATGGCTAACTCGGCCAAATAGGCCGGAGATGGCCGTTAGTACGCCCCGATTCGAGTACCACCCAACTAAAGTAAACCCCTGTTACAGTTCCATGCAATCAACTTCTGGCCTGATGCTTACGCGATGTCGTTTATGCCTCCGATATCCGCCGGGTTGCCCCACTGAGGTCCGCTCCATAAAACCGGCCATCTTCCCGGATTCCCGACTAACTCCTGGCGACGCCGGTTCTACGATTTGGTACAGAGCTCACTCGTCTGGAGAATATGGCCACCAGCCAGAGGTCTAATGCAGAAACCCGCTATGGCCAGATCAGTGGAGGAGCGGATCAACCCCTTCAACAGAAGCCGCGGAAGGCGTGCAGTCAGTACCCCCTAGCTGCATACCCTAACCTAAGCGTGGAATGGGGAAAAAAGTTGGGATTCTCTAACCAGTCACAGTCAACTGCCGCAGGCAGAAAATGAAATGTATCATCGAACCTAACGGTGTGTGCCGTCGATGTCGTCGCTCCAGTCTCCCTTGTATATTTGTGCCGCGTGCAAACGCAGCTACACTGCCCCATAGTATAATCGGTTTGCAGGAGGACGATTTCAAAAAAGATGTCCTTCGTAGACTAGATTTCATTGAAGATAGACTTGGTATATCTGGCGTGCTTGGCCCCTGCGTGGAGTCCCCAGCTGCTCATGGCGGATCAGAGGATGGAGAAGAAGAGTTCAGCAGCCTAAGTGCACTGTGGGATGCAGTACTAGTGCTTCAGAGGAGTTCTCCTAGCTCTATCCCCACAGTCATATGGCACAAGAGGACCGTCAAAGACCTTTGGCTATCGTAAGTCCACGTTTGTATTTCAAAACAAGCCCGATCTAATCATGGCAGGTTTCACAATCGAATGCCAGGGTTACATTTTATGCCCCGCAAACAGACTTTCTCTTCGCCACAACCCTTGCTCGTGGCTTCAATTCTATTCTTCTCGAGTGTACGTGGTCCGCCGGATGTGGCGGAGATTGCAACGCACTACTTTGACGTGTTATGCAATGCCATCGCCCAGTTATGCATTCCCACGAGTGAAGTGAGCCAAACACCAGAGGATACTGAGGAATGGGCGTTCCAGACTGTGCTGGGCATTGTACTTGCGGGGCTTCTTACGGAGGCTGTTGTTCGCGAGACGGGTGTCTGGATATCGATAGCCTATCGTCTTATCCTAGAACACTGCCCGGCCCATATCGACGACACTTCTCGAGAATGGCGAAAGCTATTCAGCGGTGTGCAAATCATTGATCTGGAGCATGCATCCCTCCATCTATCCTGTCCTGTCATACCGATAGAGTCCCCGCTCCTGGGCCTGCAAACGTCCCATCGCGACCAGCTTTATCGGTTGTCCCGCATGATGCATACTGGGCTAACGCATTTTACTGGAAGAGGCCTACCAACCATCTGGTCATGTTTTACCAGTCAGACACAACCCACTATAAACCTACATAGCAATTTCACACCGGTTGATGCGGCTGTGATCAGAGACTGGGCAAGGCAGCTGGATGAGTGGCTCGTCGAGTTCAGTCAGAGTTCGGATAATTCGGAGCAAGATGTCAAGCTGGTTTTTCGGCAATACGTGTTGCATAGACTGGTCGTGTTGTCCATCTATCATCCAGCCAGGGGATGCGATCTCTGGTCCAACAGTATCACGCCTCAAGAACAACATGAGCTGCTCCTGTCAGCCCGAGCCACCCTGAAGCTACATTCCCACGATAGCACTATATGGTCCAATTGGGACCAGATCATGATCACCTGGGCTGCACTTATCGTTATCCAAGGAATTGAAGGCGGGGCCGGCGAAGCAGATGGTAAATTCTATGCAACTACATTGCGAAATTCTTCGGACTAACAACGACGTAGACCTCCCTAACATAAGAATTCATCTTCAAATGCTCAAACAGATTACAGGGCTGAAACCAAATCTCTGTGACAAACTTATCACCCGTCTGGAAGCCAGTCTGGCTACTGTCCACACACCTACTTCTGTGGACCTACAACAGAATGCCTATGAGGATCCCCCTGCAATTGCACCCATGGACCAGTCATGGCAAATATTTGACCAGTCCAGCCTGCAACACATGATGTATTCGGATTGGACGGTGTAGAAATGGGATCGTTCTTCACGAAATTGGGGAAGCAAGCGCGAACGGGATCGTCGCCGATCGTACAGACAAAGGTTTTGGTGTGTCAATCCGTGACGACATGCTATCCGGGGTCAGTTCGCCATCCTGTGGTCGCCTGGATGGAGTTGTGGTCGAAATGGGGTCAATCGGTGTTGTTGGAACGTCGTCACTTAGGCCTTTTTGCAGGATGGTCCTCTCCACCCCCGCGAAGTACTGCAAGGGTGTTAATGCTCATTTCCCTTACGCAGCCGGGGCATATCACTCACTTTGACCGTCTTGACTTTGAGCTCTAGGGTTGCGTCATCGTCCACAACCACCATGCTGCAGGGGTGCAGCTGCAAACAGGATAGAGTGCACAGATGGCTCACCCCTCCCTCGATTGCTTGTTGGATAGCAAGGGCCTTTGCACTTCCTGTGGCAATGATAATCACCTCTCTCGCCTCCATGATGGTCTGGACCCCAACGGTGAGTGCCATCCGCGGTACCAAGTCCAGGTTACCATTGAAAAACCGCGCATTTGCGATCATAGTCTCATACGCGAGGGACTTGATTCTAGTGCGGCTGGCAAGGCTGGAGCCCGGTTCGTTGAAGGCAATATGGCCGTCGCTGCCAACACCACCGAGGAAAATATCAATGCCACCAACCGCCCTAATCTTAGCCTCGTATGCTAGACACTCCTCAGTTAAACTAGCAGCGGTTCCGTCCAGAATATTGACGTTTTGCGGGTCAATATCCACGTGGTTGAAAAAGTTCTTGTACATAAAGGAATGATATGACTCTGGGTGATCTCGAGCCAGACCAACGTACTCATCCATGTTGAACGTCACGACATGCTTAAATGAGACCTTCCCCTGGATGTACGCTGCGATCAAGGCGCGATAAATAGGTAGAGGGCTGCCGCCCGTCGGTAGCCCTAATACAAACGGGCGTGCAGCTGTCGGAGCAAAGGCATTAATGCGTTCTATGACAAGTTCAAGTCTCTGTTTATGTGGTGAGCCGACTGAGACTTACTAATTATATAGCCAGTGATGTGCTGCGCTGCCTGATCCGGACTTTTGCGGATGATGAGACGCATATTCGGCAGATTTCGATTGAAACACCAGTACAAGAAGGCCTAGGTAAAAATTGAGAAATATATTCTGGCTGTATATATTCCCGCGACTTTGTTTTTTTTTTAATTTGAAGTCCGTGCAAGTTGAGCGGCGCGTTTAAAAGGCGTTCGATTTCATACGAGATGTTGATTTTGGGACAGCCGCCGGACTTTTTGTGGAATCCTGACAGCATAGTAATATAAGATATGCCGTTCATTCTCATCTTAGTAGTAAGGGCTCATGGCCATCTTCTTCATTGCCATCTTCCTCCGTATACCAGACTCCGAACCGGGCAAGTCCGGCAATTCGGTGAACCCGGCGATGGAAATTTGGGCTTACAGCACAGTGTTAGTCAGAGATAAAGCTACCGTACCTCGTGAATTTATGACTATAACTATCTTTAACTATATTAATTACTCTGGGTTTTTCCAACTAATAGAAAGAAAGTGGGAATTAAAAGTGGGTAGACTAATGTAACCTAATTATATTAAAGATACTCGTACGGAGTACTCCCTAGCTATTTCTCGGTACTCCGTAGATGCTTAGGATCTGATCCTGATAAAATATATCCTCCCAAGTAGTACCATTGATAGGATAGGTAATAGTAGGATTGCTACTCGTCTGATTTTCGGAACAACAGGAGGAAATATGAAGAATCACGGGAGTAAATATACTCCATCCTGGAGTCCATCCACATAGTACGGAGTGGGAATCTTCATCAGCAATTTCAGTACTAACTACCAAGTAAGTCTAGTCGAGTTTATTCAGGGGTCTCCGAAAATTATCTCTGACAAACCCTATGCTGTCACTCGAGGCAATTCTGATATCGGCAGGAATTTCCGGGCCTCGTAGCGGGGAACAGTATAGATAGATTATTGACGAATCATGCTATTGTACTAATAAGTGCTATTACTCTAAAATGTGAAGACAGCTTGCCCATTTCTCCAGGGTAGTGGAAGTGGAAGCTCCTCGGGTTAAGACTGGGAAAGTAGGTAAAGTAGGTATGGGATATCGGTTCAATTTTGTTATATTCACCCAGCTGGTACAAGTCACGGGCAAGAAGACCTGGCCAGTTTCACTTCCATCATCACCGTCATTATTATATATAAAACAGGATTCATCCATCTCGTATAAAATCTCTTGCGTCCCTACTCCTCCTTCACCCGAGTAATCCGATCCTTATACTGCTGGCTGCCGACAAACCACCATCCAAGAATCAGGATACACAAGCCCCCCACAACGACACAAGTGTAGTTCATGTTCTGAACCGTGACTGGCATGCTGTATGGAAAGCTGAAGAAGGTAATCGCAAACAGGAGCCAGGCCACAGTAACGCTGTTAACAACCCAACCCCATCGACCCATGTGAAACACCCCCTTGTGCATGTTGGCCCGACCTGTGAGCATATTGGTGGCAATCGGGATCAAGTATGAGACATTATTGATTGTGACTGCAGCACCCAACATGCTGTTGAACGCAGTGCTACTACCAAGGTACAGGCAGCCCAGAGCGGCATTGGCGCCGGCAACGAACAGCTGCGCGTTGAAGGGAATCTTGAATCGCTTGCTGACATGGGCCCATACTCCCGAGAATGGCATGGCGCCGTCCCGCGCAAAGGCCCACAGGACCCGGGAGGTGGAGAGTTGCGAAGAGATAACGCAGGGCCCAAGGGCAACGAAAAGAATGAATGTTAGTCCGAAGGCGCCGCCTGCGGATTGCGTGACCTGGTGGAAAAGCTCGGCCAAAGGCAACCCAGTGCTTGTTGTGGACAAGGAAGCATAGTCCTGCACACTAAACATGAGGCCGATCAGATAAGTAAGACCGGTAGCAAATGCGACAGTCAAGGTGATGGCAATTGCCAACGGCGCATTACGCGAGGGCTGCACATATATGTTAGCTTAGTATCTGTATAGATTGATGGGTTCGGGGGACTGCCTACATTAGGCATCTCTTCAGTGATATGGCTAACACCATCAAGTCCTCCCAAACTGTACAGCGGATTGACCAGGCCAGTGATGAAACAGATGACATTATTATTCCACCCGGTATTGTTGATCCATGTCCTGAAGACGAATTCGGTGCTTTGATAAGTAGGTGCACACGCCACGACGGTAACTAGGACAACTAGCCAGCCAATCTGAAGGTAAAACAAAGAGAATTTGTTCAGGGCGGGAATGATTTTGTTTCCAAATAAAACTACCCCGGCAGTGAGGATATTCAGAATCTGGTAGATGATGAACGTTTGCCAGGTTTGAATGACAAGGTCTGGATGGTAGAGCGCATAAAGTGCTTGGACTATATTGCTGTTAGAGACGAACCCGCTACCATGTCCTGGACCCGATTCTAAATACATACCGACCTGGGAGAAGATTAAGTTGGTCGACGCTGTGGTAAAGATCCCTGAGAGTCGATCTGTTAGAGCCGGTCTCTGATTACTTAGACGATCCATTCGTAACAACTTACAGCCAGCGACAGTCAACCACCCCGTGATAAAGCTCAAGAAGGCACTCGATTTCTTCGGGGCAACGGCAGCAATCCAATGATACATGCCGCCCTCGGTCGGGTAGCTTGAGACAAACTCAGCCAGAGATGCGCCGAGAAACGACTGCATGATCGTTACGAGGATGAAGCCGTAGATGATTGCACCTGGTCCACCAGCGTTGATTTCCGTAACGATACCGAGCCCCAAGCCAGTCCATGATATCGTCGTCGTGGACGCCAGGCCAATCAGAGACAAAGTGCTGAAGTGACGCTCCAGCTCCTGATTGTGACCTGGTACATAGTTAACACTGCAGTTATCCGCATGCTGGAAAGGCGACACAGAACATACCCATCTGAGCCAGCCGCATCTCATCTGCATCCATCTCAATCCCATCCTTCCCCGGGATAATCGATTCCTTCGCAGCTAGGTCATCCATTTTCTGATGTTGGGAGCGAGATGAACACAGATACAAGTTGCAGAATTCACATTCACTATGCTAGGGGTGGCACCGGTCATATTTATTATAGCTGGCAGTTGATCTTAAACAGCCAGTACCCAATCCGGCCTCCATACCACGGATAATGTCAAGTGCGGGAAAACGCTTATCGATCGGTCGCGTGGCCATGAGTCTCCCCAGATATCAGCGGGGAGGTCCCTGTGCCGATGTATACCGGGCTTCACCGGTGACTATCTGCCGATGCCGGTTCCAGGGGAAGTATCTTCATCGATTAGCCCATGGTTCTTCATCTTCTGACCCACAAAGCCCCGGTCACTGAGCTGGGGTTATCTACTGGCTGCGGAGATAGTAGCATTTGGTTAATACCTGCTTGTTGGTGTATAAGAGCCCCAAGGTAATCATGAATCCTGGTTATACCAGCGCAGTTCACAGACACCAACATGCTATTCAATACGAACTGGCTTCGGGCCTTGGGCATTAGCCTGCTAGGTGCCAATATTGTCCGCTCTGCGGAGCTGAGCAAGGACACAAAGGCGCTCTTCGACCAGTCCATGGCGATCCAAGATGACCTCTATGACCCAGCGGCTTCATATTTGCGCTACTTTTATTATCCCCTTGCCGCAGGGCCTCACGAGACCCGGTCCACAGTTTGGTATTCCGTTGGACTTCTCCAGCGCAATCATGGAAATGATGTTCATGAAGCGGTCAAAATCCTCAAGAGTGTAATCGGTGGGCAAGAGAAGGACACGTCTGTCCAGTGGTATGGTGACTACACAGTCTACCCTGAGCAGCCTACTGTCGGAAGTGAGGCTTATCCCCCCGTGGTATGTTCTCCCCTGCTGCCAACATCGGTTAAACAAAGCCTAACGGAGGCATAATAGATCTATAACTCTTGGGATCCCAACTGGAGAGGCTTTATCGGTACTGCGTTAATCATCATCTACGAGGAATTCGGGAAGCTATTGCCTACAGATGTGCAGGAACTAATCTTGGACAGCCTGTACAACAATACCAAGGGCGATAGCTACCGGGTTGGTGGCGTTGATGAGGACAACCTGTACCCAGCCTACTCCAACGCTTGGTTGATGAGGACTGTAGTCGGCTCATGGACCGGCCGGAAATTGAACGAGGCCAATATGACCGCCGCAGCCGACAACGAAGCTCGTGAATTTCTCGAGCTCTTTGATCGTAACCACACTCTATCCGAGTTCAATGGACCCACCTATGCTGGTGTCTCTATCTACGCCCTCACGATTGCGGCGAAGTACCTCGGAACCACCACCTCTGTTATTGGCCAGAACGCTGCACGCGCGGTCCAGCAGATCTGGGAGTACGAGTCACTACTATGGAATCCCAATATGAGGAACTTTGCAGGCCCCTGGGACCGCTCCTATGGATACGACATGAACCAATATGTCGCAATTATGTCCATCTGGATCTGGACCTTGGTAGGAAAAGAGAATGTGTGGAAGCACAGCTATCCAATCTGGACCATGGCCCATGCCGATGACTTTGAGATTGCGCCGGTTATTGCCGTTCTTTCCAAATTCCACAAGACACTTGTCCCAAAAGCAGCCATCTCAAGGCTGACCTCATTCTCCGGCGAGCGCACATACAGCGGACACTCCTACGCTCCCCCCGCGGACTATGAGCCGCGAAACATCACCACCTGGCTTTCGGCGAATCTGACCATTGGCACAGATTCGTTTAACCAAAGCGTCGTGGGTGGTTACTCCAAGGACTCAACCTCCTTTAGCCCTTCAGTCGTCCAGTGGACACGCTCTGACGAGTCGATCGGCTACTTTAACTTATACTCCAAGCAGCCAGCTTTAAAGGCTGAGGTAGCTCCATACTCGCTAAATCTGACCTATCCATTAGGCGACGCCTCGAGCACTTTCACCTTTGTGCTCGCTTCGAACCCGCTTGGAGCAAAGCGTGATATCACTGGGTTAGATGACGTGGACGGTTTGGATATCAAGGTCACCGGTGGCACTGTCAATCCAGTCCCCGAAATTTCATTCTGTGGCTTGACTGGTGGAAGCTGCAGCATCATCCAGTAAGATTATCACTTTCTTTCTATTTACCAGAATTCTACTAACAAACATTAGCAATTTTGAATTCTGGAATCTTACCTTTTCCATGCCGGCGAATAGCTCGCATATTCCGAGTATCCAATTCGAATTTCAGCTTGAATAAGCGATGTAGCGGGCGTATATCTGGCATCGCACGGTCTACGTGCGATAACATTTATGTCCCTTGCTACCATGTACAGAAGGACTATAATGGTCTACTCTATTAGAAATTTCCAATAATATCCTTTATGTCCAAATAAACCAGCAGCGGATGTGTAAAATTATTGTCACTTCTACATTAGGTAGTTTACTCAGCAAAACAGCACTATGTTGCACATATCTTATTAATATGATAGTTGTCTTAGCCAGAGTTATCTTGCACACGACCTCGTTAACTGCTGATAACGTAGAAATAATGGTAAACACCTATCGATCAACTCGTTATATGTTTTGAGTTGTTCATAGTGCCTTCAATCCACAACTATACATATTACTCCTCAATAGAGAGAATTCGAGAAACCTTTCCCAAGACGGTCTGCAGGTTGCCTTGAGTGCGCGGTGTGGTTAACTTTGCATATTGCCACTCAAGTTCAAAGTCAAGCAGCATAGTATCAAACACAGTTTGGTTGTAGCTCTCGGTTGGCGTAGAGGCCAAGTAGGAGACGAACATCGCCCATCGAGGGATGTAATACGACGAGACCAGGCCACTCCATGTCTTCGAGGCGTAATCACTAATCTCACCCCGGGGGCCCCATAGCGTAATCTGATTGCGCGCATTGTATTCATAGAAATCTGCAACTTTCTCTTGCGTTGCTGGGGCCCGGGAGCGGGCAGATTGGGTCCACCGAGAAAGCAAGAAGTTGTCGTTCGTAGACAGGGCAGCGTCAAGCGTGGAGAGGAGTTCGATCAGCTTCCCACCGACCGCATTGATTTCGCCGCTTGTCGCATTTGTGTCGAGGTAAAGAGCCACAAGGCTATTGTAGCGGGTAATGAACTCGTTTGAAAGAACCTGGCGGGTCACATCCACCATGTCATACTGGAAGGATGGATTGCCCCAGAGAGATGGCTCGGTCGTAGCTGCCTGGCACAGGAGATCCCATGCGCTGACTACGACGGAGGGGTCGTATGTCATAGTTGTTGCGTGGTGACCGGTTCGATTCACGAGCCCAGAGGTACTCGGTTTCAGTTCGAGAATTGACTTGGTCACCGCAGTAATACTCAAGTGAGTGTTGTTATAGACGGTTGAGCGCAGAGTCTCCCACGCCTGATACAATCCTTTCGGGAGGGAATGAACACCCGCATAGCGACGCGTCACCCAGTTTTCAAAATAGGTTTCGGTGTCAATGGGAGTCGAGGACCAGGCCTGGTCGAGAAGAAGGTCATAAACTATTTCGTTCCCTTCTTGGCCTTCCATTGTCAATCCAAACCCAACAAGCGAGGATGAATTCGCTAGAGCCTCAATTGGGTTCTGCGTGATATTCATAATTTGGCCGTATAGACCCATGTTACCACCGTAACCATGAAGCTGGCACCAAACCCACGACTTTCCATAATATGAGTTCGTACGCTGCCACTGTGGTGAGCTCTCAGAGAAGAGGTCCAGGATGAGCATATCGGTGTCCACTTTGACGCCCGAAAGATAGGCCTCTATACGTTCGTTTGTCCAAAAACGAGAGTTGGAAGTGAAGAGCCATCCTTGCATCACCCAGATGGCCTCAGGATCAGCAGTCTTCAGACTCTCCCAGGTACTCCGACCGATGCTCTCGAGATAGTCCACGTCGCCAGAATAAGGATCATTCTCGTTGTACTGATCGAGCGTGTAGAAGCGAGTGATGTTGCCATATAGATCTCTCTGCTTCGAGATAAACCGTGTTTGTAAATCCGCAAAGGCTGTGTCAAATGGTTCTAGGAACGTGTCGTTGGTATACTCGGACTGGAAGCCATTCCATCGGGACCCGGCAACCACTGTAGAGTTTGGGAGAACACGAGTGATTGCTTGGGGCACAAATCCAGTAAAGGCCGGCAGGATAGGCATCATTCCTAGTTCAACCATGCGAGCAATGATTTTTTTCTGTAGCTGAAACTGGCTTTCAATCCAACTGTAGGGGAGATCGCCGCCCCAGGAGCCCTGAATGTTTCCTAAACGGTTCCAACTTTGGAATGCTGGACCACTCAGGAAAGTTGCAATCTCCTTGTCAGTGAGTCCAAGTTCACGGAAAACCTCAACAATAACTTTCTCTACGCCCACCCAAGCGAGGGGGAGATTGATGCCGTGAAGGGCCATCCAATCCAGTTGATCTTCCCATTCTTCCCATGACCAGAATGCCGTTGTATAGGAGAATGTCACTGCCTAGTTAGCCAGATTCCGGCAGGACGGTACAGACATCAGGAGATGCGATCGTACCGGTGTTAAAATGGTATCTCCAAGGAACGACACTCTCGCCCACCAATGTCTCGGAAAGTCTTGGGAAAGAAGAAAGGGCATCTAGACGATTGCCAATGAACCAGTAAAAGTCGACCTCGGCGATATCGGTGAAGAACCGGTGAAGACTAATCGTGGATTGTTAGCCCTCACGTTGAAAACACTTTGTTCACCGCTACTAACCCTCTAGACAAGGCACTCAAGGAGTTACCCTCGACTAGGATCTTCCCATCGTGCATTGGAGAAACAACATAACTATCATTGACGGTTTCGCCTCGCGTGTCATTAACCAGGGAGAAGCGAAATTCATGTGCATGTTTTGGAAGGCGGCGTTGGATTAGATTCTCAATGCCGCGAGTGGATGAGCCAAATGCTGTGGTGGCCACAAGCAAAAGCACAGGAATTATGGCAGATTTCATGGTTGCGAAGAGTCTGGAGGCATCCCAATTTGATATATGTTTCGATCCGGCAAGAAAGAATTGATATTTATAATTTGAGGGGCCTTGATATGGGGTTATTTCGTGTGTCTGTTGATGATGTTGGATGCACCCACGTGCTGATGTCTTCTCCACTCGTGTACGCCTCTAATCAACATATTTGCTTAGTTCTTACTGATATAATTAGCATTGCTATACGGAGTAAAGCTTTGGTGAATTTAGTGTAAGAAAAGTAGCATTTAGCTGTATATTAACCAGTATGAGTTCCGTAAATCAGGCCATCTGTACCAAAAACCTACCAGACCAAGATCCTCCGAATCTTAGGGCTAAAAAGCTTGTTGGGTCTCCTTTGCCTCCACTCCCAATCAATCTCCCAAATGGTGTATGATTTAGAAACCAATCTTATACAGTGACGCTCTAGCTCTTGTGTTACTACTTGGGCCGGGCGTGCCTTCAGACACCTATTGAAAGACGCATGCACTGCGTAGGTTTCCGGGCTCCCGTCTCCGGTAAGCCATTAGGAGAAAGCTGGAAATAGAATTCGACCTGGACGATGTTCAGAATGTACCTAAGATTTTAGCCTCTTGAATATATAGAAAACAATATCTAAATTAGACAATATCAGTCTTTCCGGTACAAAAATTTATTCCTCTGGCGTGGTTTAAAGATATAAAACTACCTTAATATAAGTAGTTAAAGATTTATAATAGGTAAAATATAGGCAGTAAAGGCACCTGTATATTCTTTATATTTTCGGCTTGTCCTGATAGCTTCCTGTAGAATACAAGCATATATTATTTATTGTCGGTAACCTTGATTAGATACTTCATATTAGGGTCATATCTAAGGGTAGTATAATTTATATAGGTATGGAAATATATTTTTGTGTTGGAGATTGTCACTGAATACTTTATATCTACTCCCTACTGGTAACTCCCATCAATTAAGAAAACTGACCACTAATGCTTTTATATTATGATAAACGCCTGAACACAAGAGGTACAAATCCTATAGAGTCAGGGAGCATGGTATGGCTACTCTAAAACAGCGCGGATAGTACAAGCAATCCTATCCATTCTAATACATGTTACCTTTCCAGAGACCTCATCTCATATAGCTCCCAATTCAAAGTGCTTCATTCACTACTCTAGAAATCCATATTCTCAATAAAGCATCTGTTGGCCAAGCGGGTCGATTCTTGGGGAATACCCCACACCGTGATATGTGTTGTTGTTGTTGTTGTATTGCTTAACGCCACGTGGCATCCTCGGGCGTGAGCCCGAGGCTCCTGACCTCCCTAGGGGTATAGGGGCGTGCCAAGCTGGTAGGTGCATCTATCTACCTATCTATCTAAGCAGATATAGTATATATTTTTGCCATTCTAGAAGATAATTCTAGCATGAGCGGGGGCCTCTACCTTTATGTAGGGGGGGGGAGGCCTTTGTCCCTGTATTATCCTGATATGTGGCCGCTGCTATGGGGAAATCTCTGTTGGGGGCTACCAGGGCTGTCCCAGGTATCTTTAGGCGCCGGGCCCTTCTTTATATATAAGAGTGTGGGGTAAGACTAGTTAATCTAGAAAGAGGGACTTAGTATAATAGAAATAAAAGAGAGGGTTAGGGAGTGTAGGTATTAATTTAGTATTTACTAGGGGGGGTTACAGGGCTCCAGGCCCTATATTTTATTTTACCCTAAGTTAGCCTCTAGCTTAAGATATCTTAGCCTTAGGTTATTCTAGCATGGGTATATATTTTTATAGAATCCTATAGTAGCTAGAAGTAAAGTAAAGTTCTTAAGTTCTAGTTACTTTAAATACCTAATTATCTTGTACTTGATTATTAGGGGCTATAGAGGTTATTAGGGCTACTAGGTAAAGAGCTACTTACTATAGTAGTAAAGGATTAGGTACTTAGGGCTCTTATTCCTGCTATAGGAGTATATAAGCTAGGTATTCTTATACTAGAAATATTTATAGTACTAGTTAAAGTCCTTATATAAGAATCTAATTACTAGCTAGTAGTAGAGATTTAGATACTAGAAATATAATTTTAAGAATAGAGTTATCTTATATATCTTTACCTTATTTATTTATTATTACTAGTACTAGCTTAATAGTTTTAGAAATATCTTTACCTACTAGTTAGCCTATACCTTTTAGTAAAGTTAGTAGCCTATTATTCTAATCTTACTAGTAATAGGCATGGCCTCTAGGGAGCCCTATTCTGGGCCCCTGATCTTGGGGGAGGCCCCTTAATTAGCTAGTTAGTCTACCCTCTTATTACCTTTAATCCCTTTATGGCCTGGGGCCCAGCAGAGCTCTACCCTATATTACCTAACTAGGTAGTATAGTACTTAGAAGGCCTAGTAGGAGGAGATTATAGTCTCTCCCCTATTATACTATATTACTAAGATACTATCTATATATAGCTAGTAATAACTAGTACCTAGTAACTTCCTAATAACTATCTTTAGATCCTAGAGAGCCCCTATAATCTTTATATTAAATATATATAATTACAGGTTAATAGCTACTCTTCCATGTATAATTTTCTTATATCTAGTATATACTATATATTTATAGTCTATATAGTACTGGCCCTGGTAGCTTTTCTTAAATCTATTACTAAAAATAATTATATCTTCTACTAGTAGTATTCCTTACTATATCTTAAAGGCCTCTATTACCTCCTTCTTTCTAATCTCCCCTGTAGGATTTGTCATATATCTTAGGATATAATATAGTTAGTTTAGGGTTAGCTAGAGAATAGCTAGGAGGAGGGCCCTTATTATCTAGAGCTTAATCTTTAGTCTTTAAAGTAATCTTGTCTCGCGACCTCTCTATATACGCGGGGGCTTAATTCTCTTAACTAGGAGATTATTCTTATTTACTAGTTAAAGATAGAGTATAAACTACAGGCATGCTTTTTCTAGGGCTACTATTACTAATAGTAGGCTAGCATCTCTAAAGAGGGTTGCTATTAGTATAGTCTTAAAAACTAGGAAAACCCCCCTAATAATTAGGACCAAGATCTTCTCTAGTATATTTATATACTAGCCCAGGCAGGTACTAATCTCTATATCTTAAGTATACTATTCTAGCTTTATGCGGCCCCTATACTATACTTCTATATTATAGAGTGCGCTAGGCAAGATATAAGTAATAATTATCTTTTATAGTAAGGCTGCTAGTAGGTTATAAACTATCCTTACTAGATCCTATATATACTATACTACCACCCTTACCTTAGCTACCTTTTCTATTACATGCCTCCTCCAGGAGAGCTACCTATTAAAGTAGACTCTTAGCTATCTAAGTACTGGTTACTTCTATCCTGGTGCCTCCATAATAGGCTATATTATTAGATAGTTACTAATTCTCAGGCTAGGTACCTTACTATATTATTTTCTTATAATATAGATTATCTCTAGCTTTTCTAGTATGAAGGCCATCTTATTCTAGTTACTCTAAGCTAGTATTCCCTAGATATCTGCCTCTAGTTACTTATAGTTATTCTCTAGTATTTAGGTAGTATGGCTCAGGTAAAGATTATTTATATACCTAAAATAAAGGATTATATCTTGCAGGAGTAGTTCTACTATATAAAGTAGGAAGAGAATTAGGAATAAAGGCAAGCCCTATAATATTCTATAGAGTATTAGGTCTGCTTTAGTTAGTATTATCTCTAGCTAGACCCTAGCTAGCCTGCTGGTCAGGAAGCTATTAATAAGGGTGACCAGGGCCTGGGGCTATCCCTACTCTACTATTTATTTTAGTAGCCTATATTATAGGAGAGTATTAAAGGCCCCTAGTATATTTATTATAATTATAGTTACTTTTTTATTCTAGATAAGAGCTATTTTAATATTATATATATAGGTTATAACTAGATCTATAGTAGAGTATTAGGGAAGCATGCTATACTATTATAGGCTCAAGACTCTATATATAAGTACTATATATATAATTCTCTAGATAACTATTCTTTCCAGGCCTTTACTAATTACTAATAATAGGGTAATTAATTTCTAGGATCTAGAAAAGATTCTATTCTACTTACTTATTTTAAGAAGTATAATTACCTCTACTACTTTTTATAGTACTAGGAAGTAGCTTAACTATAGGTACCTATTATATAATTTATATATTACCTTACTTATATACTCCTAGCAGGCTTTAAGGACCTGCACTATAATTATATTTATTCTAGAGAAAGTACTACTTACCCTAATTATATTTTTCTCTATCTCCTCTTCTAATATTCTCCCTCCCCAGGGGAGGTACTTATCTCTAATCTAGTAGGCCTCTATCACAGGGTTAAATCTTAAGTTATCTACTAAATTAAATTATCTAAGAATAACCTACTAGAGTACCTTAACTTTCTCCTAGATATTCTTAATTATGTGGCTGTCTACCTAAAGAGGTAGTATCTTTATCCTTAGCCCTAATTTATACTAGACTATAACCTAGTAGAGCTTCTTATTACTACTAACCCTATTAATAATACCCATCTAATATTAGTATTTAATTTTATAAACTATATTCTAGAAGTATTTTCTCCCCTCTAAGTTTAATTTTACTAGCTATCTACTATAGGAGTCTGCGCACTCTATTATCTACTAGGAGGTAGCCCTTTAGCCTGGGTTAGAAAGTTTCCTAACTATTTTAATAGCTTCTTAAAGTATTTTCCCTAGGTTCCCCATATACTAGTCTAGTACTAGGCTATTTAGCAGGCCTTCTAAGTCTAGAAGACCTATTATCCTATTCTATACTAGTCCTACTAGTTATTTTAGGTCCCTATCTAGGATCCTGAGTTATTATCTTTCTAGGGGCGCGGGTGTATGCCCTAGGACTATAGTAATTAATATCTGGTAGTTTAAGCTATAATATAGGTCTAGATAGACCTTCATGCGTACAAAAGCTATATTAGAAAAGGTCAGGTCTAGGATATATCTTATTATATAAGTAGCTACCCCTAGCTCTCTTATATAATTTATTTTACTATTAATTATTTACTACACGAGCTCTCCTCCCCTATAAAGGTTTTATGCCCCTAGCTTAAAGATATTATATATAATATTAAAGTCACCCCCTATAATATAGTTAGGGGTAAAGACTAGTAT